ATTGCTGCCTGTTGCAAAGTTTTAAATCCAAGTGCTATTTTTCTTTGTTATATCTACAGTAGTCCTCATCAGACGTTCTCTTTCTAAATTGGTAGGTGCCCCTGTAGGGTGGAAATGTAACTATGAATATTACCACTCCTGACTTATTGAAAAGCCTATCAAGATAGGAGTTACCTTTAGTTAATTTCTTGTCACGTATATACCAGGATTTAATGCTAAATTAGTTACAGTATGTTTTATGTATATTTTAATTTAAACATATCTTTTTTTCAGGGTGTAAAGAAAGCTGTCAAGAAAGCATCAAAGCCAGTTTAAAAAGGGCAAGTAATAGACTGAGGTTCCAGAGAATGATCTTTGTACTAGACTTGATATCAACTGCTTTATAATAAACGTGCTTATTTTAAATCTGTGGTTCTTGGTTGTTTTATTCAATACTATGCGTTGCATAGTTGTTTCCTGGACAATGAAAAACTCAGAATCAGTTTCTGAATGATGGAGAAATGAGATTTAGAAATGATTACCGGGGGTATTTCCTTAAATCCGTTGGGGAACTGCAGTTGCAAATGCAACGTCTTAAGCGAAATTCAAATTCATTTCAACAATAGATGTTATAAAGTTCTATCGACAAATGTAACTTAATTAACCTTAAGAAGGGATTTTGAAATGGAGGTCATATTCGTAGGCAAGGCAGTGTGTTAAAACTGTGAATATATAAGGGTTTCTTTAAAAGTATGTTTGCCTTTTCCCAATTCAGGGTAAACTAAATAGGTTGGTAGGTAGGTTGGAATTTTTTTCTTCCAAGTTAAAAAAAGTTGAGTCGGACCATTTTTAGCTCTACTGGTCAGAGACCAACTTCCGCAGGACTTTGCGTGGCTCCCACTGTTGAAAGTTTACTACAGATGGCATTGTGTCAAACACTGACCTCAACAGGAATGAGCTTAACCTTTCTCCACAGTTCTGCTCAGGTTAATTCATCCAGGCCCCCTGTTTCCCAAGTTCTGTTGATTTTGCTTTCCGTTGATCGTTCTTCAGTGCGCCGTACTTCACATTGAACCATGGTGCGTCTCTCTGATGCTGCTGCTTTTGACTACTGCTGTAAGTGTGACATTCCCACGCCCTGTCGCCCATGGCCAGTGCTTGTGTTTCCAATCATATCTCGTGAGCATAGCATACTCTCTGCTTGACGTTTTGCGGACCACTTTCTTCATGTTTTTGTCTGGATCCCTGCTCCTGCAACCCTGTCATCTGCTGAGTCACGTAACGTCATTATCAAGCGGCATTTTGCTATACCTTGAATTCTTCCATCACAGAGGAAACTGGTATGCTTAACTGGGCTGGGTTGCTGTAGAGTCCAATCGATCTCCTCAAATACCCACTAATTTTCCTTTCCATAGCTTTCCATGGCTTCGACTGTAGTAGTTACAATATCATATATAAGGAGCAGCCACTTAAGTCTTAGTAGGTCCTCATGCTGGTAGATCTATGTCTCATATTTTCCAGGTACTCCGCTTCCATCGACCCTTTTTAACCAAGCTCCTTCGTGTCTTCAATGCTATCAGTATCTTTATCTGTGAGGGATGCATTATAAACCATTTCCCCGAGCATATCATCGGGTTTCCTTCTATTGATAATAAGATCTCTCCTTGAATTTGCATCTTGACTTGCATATTGATACACCCCTTCCTCAAACCGAGACATCTGGCCCGGGGGCCATAAAACTTAGCTCACTCTTGATCTCAGGCTCACTTTTTCTCAAGGGAATATATAGTGGAAAAAGAGACTGAGATCAAAAGTGTGCTCGTCTAAGTTTTATGACCCCCAGGCCTGAATTTCTTTGGCTTTTTCCAATGCTGATAGGAGTCGGCTTGCCTATATATGGGTCGTTGTTGTCACAGTGAGATCATCCATAAAGTCTCTGATTGGTGGCTAATAAATCCCCGAGTTTATCCTTGACCCTCTTGTTTCTATTTCTGCAGTCTTGATCACCATCCCCAATCCTTTACAAACAGGATAGGAGAGATTGTACATCTTGTGACTAGCCCTTCTCTGCTCTATGTCAGGATGTGGTGTAGTCATCGACAGTGAATCGTATCTGCATTCAACCGAAGTAGTTCTTGACAATCCCCTGAACATTCTGGTATATGGTACCGCTCCATCACCTACTCAATAAGCTTGTGGGGCACAGATCCATACACGTTGGCTAGGTCTACCCAAACTGTTGCAATTTTTTTTTTGCCGTCTTTGGCCTCCTTGATGAGCTGACTTATGACTTGTGTGTTCTACGCATCCGGAGTACCTAGGTATGCCTGCCTTCTAAATAGATGGATCTATGCATCTGTTCTCTACCATGTACCCTGATATTCGCTTTTCTAACAGTGACATGAACATTTTTACCTTCATACTTAGCAAAGATATCGTCCTAAACTGGTTGATTGTCCCTGTGTTCTTCTCTTTCGGTACAAAACATCCCTCTGCCTCTTTCCAACATACTGGTATCGTTCTTTTTCTCCAAATTACTGTGAATACTCGAAAAAGTTGCCACAATCTTTTCAGTAACTTTGAGCACCTCTTATACACTATGTATGGTATCCCATTTGGTCGGGACACTGAGCCTGATCTTGCCTTCTTGACCACTTCTTCCAATTCCTTCCATGTAGGTTCCTTAACATCCATTTCAACCTCTGATGAATCCACCATCACCTCATTAAGGCAGTGACCGATTGGTTCTTCTTTCCATGGGTCAGAGTGAGTATCATTTAAATACTCCTCCACTTCTTCCTTTGATCTTTCTTCGCCTAGAAGCTCCTTTGTAATGGGTTCTTCACAAACCTTGCCCTGCTCTTCTCTCTTTTCTGCTTCCTCTGTCTCAACATTGCTCCGCTCATCGTATAGCCTTGATAGCTCTAACCTGATGTCATCCAACAACTGTGCTATTCCTGTTTTTTCCCAGTCCTTCACCCTTCTAAACTGTTCAGTTCGTTTATTTCTTGCCGACATATTCTAATCCTTTGCTCTTGCCTATTTAGGATCTGCTCTTTATTATTTCTTGCCTTTCCTTCCACCTTTCCGAATGTTGCACACCATGTTGTAAGTACCTCTATTTTTCTCTCTACATTCCCCTGCATTGTTGACTCAAGGATCATGCTGACAGCTTCATTGAATTCGAAGCCACTCCACACCGCGTCATCATCTCTCGGTCATGATTGACTTGGCCTCTTTGTCCTTGCCGTTTCTTTGTGTCTGCTGCTCTGGCTATTTCGAAGACCGAGTTCCTCCATCAGGTCGCCGCTGCTGTCCTGGGACGACTCAGACACGGAGAGGTTCCTGGCTCTGTGTGTTGTGGCCAGGATCATCTTGCGTCTCACCAGTTCGGTGCGCTGTGTCTGGGTTGTCACACTATCACATAACTTCTTGCTTGGTGTACCTTCAGTCCTCCAATGTTCTTGCAGACTTAACCATATGTACATCTGGCTTCAGCCTTTCCTCTATCTAATGTTAGTAATGCACCATTCTTCTTACAGTTCATGGGTTGTTCCTTGTCGTAACCGTTCGAGCCTCTCACCCCCTCCCCTCCTGGGAGGCTCTGGGGGTGTTGATCATTTCGTTCCGTCGTAGGTAATTTCGGTGTCCCCTCACAGGGACTGTACAAAGGGAAGCTGCCCCTTGGAACCCGTATCAACACTATTCCTGCATGTCAGTCACCTGTCTCTCCAGTGTCACCGGTCTTCTCCAGTCTCAACCCAGGCTTTCCTGCCAGTCACTGGTTTCCCAGATTAATAGTATTAACTTACAGAAGATAGTTTTCTGCTAATGTACATGACTTATAACTGTCGCACTTAACGTACAATATTTTCAATACCGGGTATATGGATGCTGATCAGATAAAACTGTTGCTTGTTTTTTTAACTTCTAAAATAAAACAATTTCTCGGATTATCAAGAAAATTGTGGTAAAATCTGTCAAGAATTGTTGTCATATCAGTGATTTTACAAAATGTTGTTATATACCCCCCGCTTGAATTAAAAGCGGGAGGTACATGTAAGCTATATAAGCAAATACGTACCCCACGTCTGAAGGGTGTCTATTGCAATTCCACAAGATAATTGTCACAATTAAGCCTTGGAGCTCCTTTTAATTCAAAAGAACTTACAACTAGGACGAAAATTTTATAGTTGATTGTAATATCTTGCATAACTATTGATTCTATTACAAACTGGCCGAATATATAGATATCTTTTTAAATTCTTTTTAAAAGAAATATATCAATTTTAATATTAACGTTAAAGAGAAAGTTATTTGCAAAATTAGATATTGCTCTTGGTTGTGATTTCGTTTGTAAAACGGGACCATGAACGCTTACGTCCAAAACAAAGGCTTTTAGTGTAGATTCAAAACGATTTTATCAATAATATGTACATGGCATGCATAAGTTAAATTACAGGTGTAAAATTACAAGATACATGTATGAATATTCGATTTACTAGCTTCCTTATTTTTTTAATTCGCTACTTTATAAAATTTTGCTTGTTTCCTTGTCCCTGATAACATGCTTTATGTTAAATTAAAATTCCAACAATCTTTACTAATTAAAAGTACATAGAAATTTCTTTGAAATCATGTACTTTCACAACACTACTCCTCCTACAGTTTTTTGTCCGATTTCAATCTAATTCCATTTTACATAAATGTAATTGAAATAGAATCATAGTTTATAATTTTAAAAAATGGATTCAATATCTAATTATTGTTTGCATTTCATTTTAAAACTTTGTACAAAACTTTTTTTTTACAATAAAAGGGAGATCACTCTTGAAGAACATTAAATAATTTTTTAACTATGATAAACGTGTTTGAATTCTAGGTGTGACTCTCATTTATAACAATCATATAAAAAGTGGAATGCGTCAATCAGTTGAAATCATCGCTGGATGATTAATATTGATCGGGTTCGAGATTCATTCATCGATCATTCGGAACTCTCTAGACTTTACCTTCGTCACATTGTCTCCTTCTTTTACCGTCGGTTACCCGCCATGTCGGAAAGCGATTCAGACGAGGGGATCAAAAATTCCACCTGGGTCCCTTACAGAGACCGAGATGAGTGGAAAGACATCTCCCCAATCCCCCAGGACGACGGCCCCGGGCCCGTGGTGCAGATTGCGTACTCTGACGAATGTAAGTAAAGTGTTATTTTATCTGAAACATGGTCGCGGGTCGTCACCTGGGAATAGCGGCGTTTGTTGTGGTTGATGTACATGTATGGAATCCTCTTGGCTTACGTCCAGTGGCTAAGAATAGTTTAATAGGGATTGTTTTTGATTTACTTTAGACTTATCTAATGAAAAGTCAAATAAAAATTGAACATGATTTAATACTGGCTACTGCTGTAATATACCTTATTTATTTGCAGAAGGCAAAAAGGAAGGGGGAGGGGGGGGGGGGGCTATTGTTTCTACTCTACAAGCTAACCATTTCCATTTGTCAGTGTCCATAGCATATCCTTGGTTACTTTCCAAAGGGAAAATTGTGGACAATAAAAAAGCTTTTCAAATTAATATAAATATAATTTCAAGAAAAAAAAATCATCCTATTTTTACTATACTGGTGGTTTTATTCATGGCAGTTAGGTCAATGTACAGTGTTAATTTTAATTTGTTGTAGTTTATGAAACATGATTAAGTAATAAGTTGAATAGGAAAGGTTATAATCTTGATTTAGTAGCAATCCAAATCCCAATTATCAGCCAATACCTGGATACCTGACTTCATTTATTATGTATATTCTGGTAACGTATCTGTGATTAATTGAGGAGTACTCTGTGGTATTATTGGAAGGATGGTGAACTTCTTCCTCTTGGTTTCAATTTCCATTTAGTTCAGTTCTCAGCTTATAATTGATTTAACATGTTAAATTGATCTTTAACAATGAAGTCATCAACTAACATGTTTTGAACCTTATGGTTAATTTTCCATAAGCTTGGTGAGATGAGAGTGTTTTTATTCTATGTGTTCTATATAAAAACAGTGGAGGCTTTATCAAAGTTAAACATACAGATCTGGTTGAACTTTCATCATTGCTTGTACAGTGTTCAAATTCTGCATTAGCTTAAATACTATGTAATATAAAATGCTATTTATTTTTTCCATGGGCGACTTTTTAGGTCACCTGAGTAAACTCAGGTGACCTATTGCTATCACTTTTCGTCCGTCGTCGTTCGTCGTCCGTCGTGCGTCGTGCGTTAACATTTGAACATTTTCAGCTTCTTCTCTGAAACCACTGAACCAATTTCAACCAAATTTGACATATAGCATCTACGGGTGAAGGGGAACAAAAATTGTGAATTTCATGGGCCCTGCCCCCCTGGGGCCTGGGGGGTGGGGCAAAAACCACTAAAATTAATGCAATCTTTAAAAATCTTCTTCTTTACTCCTGGACATCAAGCAGTTAAACTGTTTGCATGATTGTAATCAGCATTGAGTCCTCTACCAAAATTGTGAAATTCATGGCCCCGGGGTCAGGGGTTCTGTTGTTAGGGTGGGGCTAAATAAGTATATCGTGAAATTTCATGAATTCTTTGAAAATCTTCTTCTCTGCTCCTGGGTATTGAATTAACTAACTAAGTGCATAGTTATGATGAGCAAGAGTGCCTCTACCAAAATTGTGAATTTTATGGCCCCAGGGTCAGGGGTTCTGGTGTTAGGGTGGGGCTCTATAGATTATATAGTGAAAATACATGAATTCTTTGAAAATCTTCTTTTCTGCTCCTAGGTATCAAATAAACTAACTAAGTGCAAAGTTATGATGAGCAAGAGTGCCTCTACCAAAATTGTGAATTTTATGGCCCCAGGGTCAGGGGCTCTGGTGTAAGGGTGGGGCTCTATAGATTATATAGTGAAAATACATGAATTCTTTGAAAATCTTTTTCTCTGCTCCTGGGTATTAAATAAACTAACTAAGTGCATAGTTATGATGAGCAAGAGTGTCTCTACCAAAATTGTGAATTTTATGGCCCCAGGGTCAGGGGTTCTGGTGTGAGGGTGGGGCTCTATAGATTTTATAGTGAAAATACATGAATTCTTTGAAAATCTTCTTCTCTGCTCCTGGGTATTAAATAAACTAAATAAGTGCATAGCTATGATGAGCAAGAGTGCCTCTACCAAAATTGTGAATTTTATGGCCCCAGGGTCAGGGGTTCTGGTGTTAGGGGGGGGGGGGGGGGCTCTATAGATTATATAGTGAAAATACATGAATTCTTTGAAAATATTCTTCTCTTCTCCTGGGTATTAAATAAACTAAATAAGTGCATAGTTATGATGAGCAAGAGTGCCTCTACCAAAAATTGTGAATTTTATGGCCCCAGGGTCAGGGGTTCTGGTGTTAGGGGGTGGGTTCTATAGATAATATAGTGAAAATACATGAATTCTTTGAAAATCTTTTTCTCTGCTCCTGGGTATTGAATTAACTAACTAAGTGCATAGCTATGATGAGCAAGAGTGCTTCTACCAAAATTGTGAATTCGATGTCCCCAGGGTCAGGGGTTCTGGTGTTAGGGTGGGGCTCTATAGATTATATAGTGAAAATACATGAATTCTTTGAAAATCTTCTTTTCTGTTCCTGGGTAATAAATAAACTAAATAAGTGCATAGTTATGATGAGCAAGAGTGCCTCTACCAAAATTGTGAATTTTATGGCCCCATGGTCAGGGGTTCTGGTGTAAGGGGGGGGGGGGGGCTCTATAGATTATATAGTGAAAATACATGAATTCTTTGAAAATCTTCTTCTCTGTTTTGGGGTATTAAATAACTAAATAAGTGCATAGTTATGATGAGCAAGAGTGCCTGATTGTAATCAGCATTGAGTCCTCTACCAAAATTGTGAAATTCATGGCCCCGGGGTCAGGGGTTCTGTTGTTAGGGTGGGGCTAAATAAGTATATAGTGAAATTTCATGAATTCTTTGAAAATCTTCTTCTCTGCTCCTGGGTATTGAATTAACTAACTAAGTGCATAGTTATGATGAGCAAGAGTGCCTCTACCAAAATTGTGAATTTTATGGCCCCAGGGTCAGGGGTTCTGGTGTTAGGGTGGGGCTCTGTTGATTATACAGTGAAAATACACTAAATCTTTGAAAGTTTTCTTCTCTGCTCCTAAGTATTAAGCAGATGAACTACCTATGTAGTTATGATGAGCAAGGGTCCTGATCTTCCAGAATTGTGAATTTCAAGGCCCCAGGGTCAGGGGTACCATAAAGGAGGGGGGGGACTGTACTTATATACTGAAACTGGATGAATTGTTTGAAATCTGCTCTCTGGTATTTATCAAATATTTTTGAAAAGCAAGGGTGCCTTTTCAACAATTTTTGCAATGTGTGGATCTTGGCCTAAGGGTCAGGGGTTCATATGTGATTGGGGCATTACTGATCATGCTGAATATTACTGATTACTTGAAATGCATTTTTTGTTCCCCTACCCTGCCTATGGGTATTAAGTAAACAAACTAAGCAACTGCTAAGTGTGTTATGATGATCAATGGTGCCTATTTCAAAATTGTGAATGCCATAGCATCTGGATTAAAACATGAATCAAATTCAATCACTGGAAAGTTGTTGCATAATGCTCAGGTGACCTATAAGGCCCATGGGCCTCTTGTTGTGTATAGAGATGGGATTTGTGTAATGCAATCAATTCCAGATTTTTAAAGTCACAGTAATCAGCAGTCTCTGCAAACATTATTTTTTTCTGAATGCACAAGATCAAACCAAACTTTGCAAGAGAAAAATCCTTACTAATGTAAGAAAGTGAAACACTTGAAAATGCAAAACCAAGAAGATCCTACGGTCCATGTAATTTCAATCACACTTGTTCATGTAGTTAACTTTGTGCAATATTTTTCATAAAACAAACGTTTTTAGGACTCCATATGGTTCAAGATAGTAAACTTAAATTTGAACCTGGAGACATCAGTTGAAAAATTCCAGTTTGGTGTAAAAAATGATGTATCGGGCTCAGCACTGTACATGTGAGATCCAATGGTCAGGTGTTTTTTCTGGAAAACTGTTATTAACATTAAAATCCAATGTTTTCTTAGTAAGAAGGGAGCTTCAAGGGCATCAAAGTCACTTGGATTGTGGTAATGCAGTTAACACTAAACAGAGTTTTTATTACTGATAACCATGTTAACTGTAAATAATTTCCTTTTTCAGTTCAAGATGTGTACGACTACTTCCGGGCCATCATTGCGAAGGAAGAAGTCAGTGATCGCGCACTGGAGTTGACGAAAGACGCAGCACGGCTGAATGCCGCTAATTATACTGTATGGTAAGTTAGACCATAGTAGCTACCACTCCAAGATTAAGTTTTCAATGCTGCTGACTAAATGGTAAATTTTGAATGCAGCCATAATGTAAAATATGATATGTTGTACTTGTAAGTGATGGAGATTTCCAGTTATACTGTCTGATCTGACATTGAAGAATGGTACTACTGTTTGGTAATGTTTAGTACAAAGTATGTTGTGTAGTTTTTGAATGCTGCTTATTCATACAACATACTACTTGAAAAATACCACTTTTATGCTGCAAAAAAGAAATCTGAAAAAAGTTAATGCTGTCAAATACAGATATTCCCCACTAGTGATCGGTTCATGATGATTGAAATCAAACATTTTCTTCTCCTTTACAAATGTTAAAAATGAAGTTTAAGAACTCTGTAGATATACTGGTATGTTGTAAACACAAGGGACTTAGGTTGTAGGACTGTTTTTCTTCAATTGGCAAGGGTTTTTTTTCTCTCGCAAGGGGAAATTTGTGATAAGAATGCAGGAATCTTGTATATTTATACACCTTTGATATTTTCTGTTTGTACGTCATTTAAAATGCCATTAGCATGTTAACTTAGTACACATGTCAGTATGGTATTCGGTGCCTAAAAATATTCGAAATACTTTTCCCCCTTACCATAAATATCACTGTTGGTGAAAAAAAGAATCAGTATGAAGGTAATAGATTTATATTACATGTATGTGACAACAGATCAGCAGACTTTTATTGTACTTAACTCCTTTATGGAGAGGACTCCCATTTCCTGATGAAAGTCTTGAAATATTGCCAGGAACTGGAGAGAAAATTCAATACCTTTCTGAAAATCAATTTTCTTCTTATGCTTCTCATAATTAAAGTGTCTTTGCTTGTGAAATTGCTCAAGTAAAGCTAAATCTCCCGTTTTTCTCCGTTAAATGATTTTTTGGGTGTATTGATGCTGTGTTGATGTAAGGTGCAATGTCCTTGTGACTCACTGTGAATTTACCAATAAATGGAAAGAAGAAATAAGTGGTCTTGCCAAAAAAGAGATTTAAAAATTTAATTTTTGAGCTGTTTACAATGTCAAAAGGTGACACGTTTTGGAATTAATGTGTGTGAAATCCTGGCACATGTCTGCAGTGTTTATATTATTTTGTTAAAGGTCATTGTTTGATTTTGATTAAAAAAAAAAGCACCTCTATGTGAATAGCCAAGTTCTTTTTGTGTGTAGATTAAAGAAAAAACATATTTCATGACGAGAAGAGATTAGCTTGGGTAGCTAGTAAGATATCAATGTATAAACTGAATCCTCAACCCAACCCTACATCTTTCAAGACTGGTTATAAGATTTTTTTTCTGAACTTTCAACTTCAGAAATCTGTTTATTTATTCATTCTTAGTTTCATACATTCTCTCAGTGACTTGCCTGTCTTGAAAAAATTCATAGACTATTGGACTTTTGGGAGAAGCACTGACTTTTACAGTTGACTGTTTACTTGAACATTTAAACCTGTATCATCTACAGAGGTACATAATTGATAATAGATAAGAAAACCTTTCTAGTGGTCATAGGTATGGTGTTAGGGGCACTGACAGGTGAAGGCCAGGAGTTAATGGTAGTTGTTTTCTTCAAGGACACCTTATCTGTGCTTTGAAATAGCCCATGATTTTTGTTGAATTAAATGGTGAGCTAAATATTTATATTGTAAAAGAGCTTCCGTACACTGTCTTAGTGTTAGAATAATTTGTCAACTGCTAAAGTCAGCGCTCCTCGCAAAAGTCCATTAGTAATTTAAACGTACCATATCAGGGACATCACTTCAACACGACATTCATATTATTCCAGATTTATTTGGATTTTTACCTGTACTTCTTTAGAATCCTATTCCTATATATATATAATATTGTATACTTGACATAAAAGGTCACAAAGGGGAGTCTTTGAATCAGACTGTTATTATTTATCTAGCAGAGTCAGGACAATTAAAAAGTATGTCTCTCATGACCATGATTACATCCAAGTTGATATACACATTTTATATAATTTTTTGTAACATTGATTTTGATTACTGCACATACATATAAACAGTTGAAACTTGAGTTGTACATTTCATGTAATGTGTAATTTTGTCATGTTTTTATATTCCAAGGAAAACACATTGACAGTTTTGCTTTAACAAAGAAATTACTTTTCTAAAAGTGATGTACACATTGTTCATTGGAGGATACTGTATCTAAATTTACTTTAAAAAGTGGGCTTCATATTTTAGCGACTTTGGTACAGACGATATATACACTAATTCAAGAATTCCGCTAAGAAATCATGTATTTTATTAATCATGTTAATATAATATTAACATGATTAAGAAAATATTTTGTGAAGTGTGTAGGGCTAATTTATGAATACCCCAACAATTTTATACGCAGTGATTGCAGTAAATATTGAAAACACCAATTTATGTACACACGTATAGTATAAAGTCATTATTTAGTGTTAAGAAATGATTAGAAACATTTAGAGCAACTGAATAGCTTAGTTTTGACATGCAGTTTGAAATGCATCAAGGCAATCTATTTCAGTCCAAATACTTTTCAGACTATTTACAGAATTTTTTGATTGCTTACATCTTCAATATCTTCTACAGGCATTACAGGAGAATTCTCTTGAAAGAGCTGAAGAAAGACTTGAAAGAGGAATTAAAATACATCACAGATATGATTGTCTCCCACCCCAAAAACTACCAAGTCTGGTGAGTATCAACTATGAATTCTGGTTAAAGCTGCTCAGCTTTATTCCTTTAGGGGAAAAAATTACAGATGGATGGGAGGTTATGATATATTTTGCAGCCCTAATATGTAATAACCCTTTGGTAAGAGACAGATAAATCTCCTGGATTACAGTAAATTTTAGAAAACATTTCTCCTGGGTGAAAGAAAATAAACTTTTATCATATGTTGATGTTTATAATACAGTGAAATGTCTCATTGCTTTTGTTAGGCACCATCGTCGAGTGATTGTAGAATGGCTTCAGGACCCATCACAAGAACTCGAGTTCACCGCCCAAATCCTGAAAAAGGATGCCAAGAATTACCATACCTGGCAACACAGGTGATTAATCGTGCCTTCTGATTGGTAGAATGTAGTTTTGACCCCTTGATCTCTATGCTAATGGTTTATGGTCCTCCTATGACCTTTAAATGTGAATAACCTATTTGACCTTTTTAACCTTTGACCTTACAGACAGTGGGTGTTACGTGAGTTTGCATTGTGGGACAGAGAGCTGGATTACGTGGACTCGCTCCTACAGGAGGATCTTAGAAACAACTCGGCCTGGAATCAACGATACTTTGTCATCAACAACACGACCGGGTTTACTGAAGACGTGGTTAATAAGGAGGTCAGGTGAGCTTTCTAGGGAGGACTGTGTCAAGGTCACACTGACAATAAAATAAATAGGACAGCCGCCAGCTTCTCTCTTAAAAACTGGACAGAATTCTACATCGTCCTTTGTCATGATTGTTGTATACATATAATTTTATTGGCATGCCACTCAATTTAAAGAAAAGTACTTTGGAATATTTCCATAATTAGTGACAGGATAGAGGCATTCATGTATTGATCTGGATCCAAAATTGTGTATAAATTACTGAAGCAGTTCTGCATATTTTTCCTGATGAAACAAAAGTTGCAACATATTCTCTGTTTTGTAGGTACACACAAGAGTTTATCAAGAAGGCCCCTAACAATGAAAGTTCTTGGAACTATTTGAAAGGGTAAGACAGATGTCATTGAACATGTAAATATTTTGCTCAGCTATTGCTTTGTTACTTTAAAGCTTTAAATTCTGCTCAGTTTTATATCTATGTTATAAATAAACAGTGATTGGGAAGGGCTTGCGCCACGCGCCATAGTCGCATTGAAGTGAAAAATGGCGCATTAAATCAATCAATCATGGCGCCTAGGTGCGCATTCAATTTTTAGCGATGTTATTTGGAAATATTTTGTGTACGACTTTCTTTCTTGTTTTACTTTCGTTTTAAATGCAGTCAATTTAAAACAACAAATCTTATTGGTTGAAACCTGTCAAAAAGTACTTCCGGTTAAACGAAGCACTTACATGAGGTACAATACTTCATTCATTTGTATGGTAAGGCCGTTCCCTTTCCAAAACTGTCGTAATTTTAACACAAAATACGGGTCAGTTATATTCTAAGAAAGTTCCTTTAAATTTACTGCATTTCATACGTTAAAAATCGGATTCGGTTAATTAAAAATGCGTTTTCTCTCGTATTTCATATTTGTTTGTCACTTTGTTATTTCTTAAAATGGCCCTTCAGATTATATTGATGGCCCATTCATTTTCGAAATGGCCCATCAAAAATGTTGACAGTTGTGCCATAGTCCCATTGACCATTTTGGCCTTCCCAATCACTGAATAAAAATGAAAGGGAGGATAGATCTTTGTACATTATATGAAAAAGTCCACTGTAAACTGAAAGTTTTCATTGTATTCCTTAAGGCTGTTGATGGAAGTTTAGAGATCTCCATACCTGATTATTTATCTGAGTTGTTTAATGTAGGGTTCTGATGGACTTTGAGCTGTATAAGTACCCCGGCCAACTGGAGTTCTGTCAGCAGCTCTGTGATGACCGCTACAGATCTCCATACCTGATTATTTATCTGAGTTGTTTATTGTAGGGTACTGATGGACTTTGAGCTGATGACCGCTACAGATCTCCGTACCTGATTGCCTGTATGATTGACACATATGAAGAGATGCTGGAGCAGAACTGTGGAGAGCAGAGGGAGGTTCTGGAGAAAGCTGTGTCGGTATGTTAATCATCTATTGGTGTATCAATGTAGTAATGTGTTTATGCTCTGCTGAAATGTAAGTGTGTGTATATCTGTGATGTATCTGTATCTACAATGTTTACCTTTTTACATTGACCGTTTCATTGTTGTCCTCTGAGTCTGTACATGATATTTTAAACCTTAGGGGTCATGTGCCACCCCTCCCCCCCCCCCATTCTCCCTAAATTTACAAGCTCACAATACTTTATAGCCCACAATTTTATCTCCACTTTGGGGAGAAATCTTCAACCCTTTTGCATGTTAATCTCAAAAAAGTAAACTTTGCTGTCCACAATCTTTCAATTCTCTGTCAGACACAATTTTCTGAAGTGTTAAATTTTTCTCTTTCCAGCTGTGCCGGTCATTAGCGGAGGAGTACGACACTATTCGATCACAATACTGGGACTACCTCTCCCGCGTGTTGTCCAATAAATACGGCAGTGAAGACGTCACCGCGCAAGAGGCGTCATGATAATCCGAGTCATGACAGTGTTTTGTCATGACAACCAGAGACATTATAGCAAGGGAAAGATTAAAGAGTTTTTAGGATTAGTTTTATACAAATGTACATTGATGAACAAACACTTCTCCTCCCAGTCTGCTAATAGGAAAACTTCATCTCTGCCCCTCTGCTAGATTAATAATTGTTACTTCTAAGGTGATGACCATTTGATTCTGAGGGCTGTGGGTGCTGGCAGATTTGGAAATAAATAATCCATCCTCGAAATATTGAAAATGAGTAACCTGTCATCAACTTGACAAGAAAATAATGTGTCCCTGACCATTGCTATCCCCCCCCCCCTTCCCAAGTAGAGTTTTGGACTTGGATGTTTCTTTTTCTTTGCTTGACAAGCTTTTTTTTAGTGAAGTAGAAAAAAAATAATCTGTCCTTGATCTTATTTGAAATAAATAATCTGTCCTTCATTGACATGAAGGTAAAAAATCTGACTCGGAAAAAAAAAATAGCCTAGCGCCCAACCCAGAATCAAATGGTCATCTCTTAAGATACAATTTATTTTATATACATATTTGTTGTATTTTTACGAAGAAGGGAGGGCATGTAGTTTCCGTTATTTCTTCACAACCGTTGCACATACTGAAATGAAATTTGGTATAAGTTTATGTAAATATTAGGTCAAATACTGATAAACCGTTTTTGATTGAGTTATGCCCCTTGTACTTAGAAAAATTCCACTTATTTGCAGTTTGTTCATTTTCTTTCAGAGGTTGCAATGAAATGAAATTTAGTATACAGATATATCAGATAAATATCTAGGTCAAGTTCTGTTGTGGGTACGATTGCGTCCTTTTTGTTAGAGTTATGCCCCTTGCACTTTGAAAAATTCCACTTATTTGCAGTTTCCGTTCATTTTCTTTGCAGAGGTTGCACATATTGAAATGAAATTTAGCATACAGATATATCAGATAAATATCTAGGTCAAGTTTTGTTTTGGGTACGATCGCATCCTTTTTGTTAGAGTTATGCCCCTTGGACTTAGAAAAATTTCACTTAATTGCGGTTTCCATTCATTTTCTTTGCAGAGGTTGCACATATTGAAATGAAATTTAGTATACAGATTTTTCAGCTGAATATCTAAGCAAAAAAATGTTTTGGGTAGGATCGCACCATTTTAGACAGAGTTATGCCCTTTTGTACTTAGAAAAATTCCAATTTGGGGGGAGGGGGGCATAAGTGTTTTACAAACATCTCTTGTTATTTTTGAATTAACTACAAGGTTAAAGATGAATGTTGGTGTGATGAGACCTATACTGTAGTCAGATTTAAATTGCTCAATAGCAATAAATAATTTACCTGTAAGGAAATGAATATCATGATTAATAATTCTAATAATGTATGGGTAATGATGAAATTCTTTTCATAGATTTACAGAGTATTAGGAATTATTGTAAATTGATTCAGGTTTCAGAAAAATCATAGTGCTTTAGAGGTGCTAAGTTTAATGTTACATGTGATGTAACTTTGTCTTCTCAATAGATGCGTATTCTCCTACAAAGCTGTATGTGTAGAATTTTAGTATAAACATCTGTATCTTGCAATGTAAATGAACTTTCTATGTTGGAATGACCATGATGGAAAATGTGTAATTCAGTGATCAAATTAGCAAGATTAATGGTGATCATTTTATATATTAATTGTGTACATTTCAGAATTTACCAAGAAAGACTTCTATGCTAGGTGGTACATGTGCATAATAATTTTTTTTCAGAATTTTTGCTAAGGTATTTTAATTGTGATTTTATGCTCTATGTACATTCCACCCATCCAACTGCCCATTAAAATAACTGTGTACAAATGTTCTACATTGTTTAATACCCCATGCAAGCTAATTTTGTACAGCATAATAGCACAATAAATAAAGCTCCTTGGAACCATACAATATGTTGCTTGTCATTTGTTTTGAAATGTTATTGTTATTTATAAATTTATTTTAACGAAAGGCCTTAACCATGGAACCAGATTAGTGCCATAATCTTGAAGCCTAATTAGTGTCTTTATAATTATGGTGCCTAACAGATGTACTTGGTGTTTTGATACCTAACAATGGTGCGATGGCCCTAACTCTTGGAGCTTAATGACCTAACAGGTGCCCTATAAACTATGGAGCCTAATGTCCTAACTATGGAGCTTAATGTCATAGCAGGTGCCCTATAAACTATGGAGCCTAATGTCCTAACTATAGAGTTTAATGTCCTAGCAGGTGCCCTAACTACATGTGTATGGAGTCTAATGTCCTAACAGGTGCCCTATAAACTATGGAGCCTAAGGTGCCCTATTCAGGCTAATGCCCTAACTATGCAGCCTAATGCCCTAACTATGTAGATTAATGTCCTAACTATGCAGCCTAATGCCCTAACAGGTGCCCTAACTATGGAGCCTAATGCCCTTACAGGTTCTCTAATCATGCTGCCTAATGTCCTTACAGGTGCCCTAATCATGGAGCCTAATGTCCTTACAGGTGCCCTAATCATGGAGCCTAATACCATTAAAGGTGCCCTAATCTTGGAGCCTAATGCCCTAACAGGTGCCCTAACTATGGAGCCTAATGCCCTAACAGGTGCCCTAACTATGGAGCTTAATGCCCTAACAGGTGCCCTAACTATGGAGATTAATGTCCTAACTATGCAGCCTAATGCCCTAACAGGTACCCTAACTATGGAGATTAATGTCCTAACTATGCAGCCTAATGCCCTAACAGGTGCCCTAATCATGGAGCCTAATGTCTTAATAGGTGCCCTATCTATGGAGCCTAATGCCCTTACAGGTGCCCTAATCATGTAGCCAAATGCCCTAACAGGAGTCCTAATCATGGAGCCTAAGGTCTAACAGGTGCCCTAAGTATGCAGCCTAATGCCCTAACAGGTGCCCTAACTATGCAACCTAATGCCCTTACAGGTGCCCTAACTATTCAGCTTAATGCCCTAACTATGGAGCATGAATGATGCCCTAACAGGTGCCCTAATCATGGAGCCTAATGCCCTAACTATTGAGCTTAATGCCCTAATAGGTGCTCTAACTATGGAGCCTAATGCCCTAACAGGTGCCCTAATCATGCAGCCTAATGCCCTAACAGGTGCCCTAATCATGGAGCCAAATGTCCTTACAGGTGCCCTAATCATGGAGCCTAATCTCCTTACAGGTGCCCTAACTATGCAGCCTAATGCCCTAACAGGTGTCCTAATCATGGAGCTTAAGGTCTTAACAGGTGCCCTATCTATGGAGCCTAATGCCCTTACAAGTGCCCTAATCATGCAGCCTAATGCCCTTACAGGTGCCCTAATCTTGGAGCCTAATACCCTAACATGTTCCCTTACTATGCAGCCTTGTTACAACGCACTTTGGAAAATTGGATTTACGCACTTTGAAAAAAATTTTCAAAGTGCGTTAAATTTGGGAATACATCAACGCACTCTGAAAAAATAACATTTCTTTTCAAAGTGCGTTGAAATCGACCATATTAACGCACTTTGAAAAAATGTGTTAGGCTAGGTCAATATTCATGCAAATCTTAGTTATGATAAATAATTGAACCTGTTTGATAACTCTCCATTGATGATAAGCTCACTTCAGGATTTGAAAGTGAGCGATTTTGATTTTTCCTTGCTTTGAAAATTCTTTCTCTCTAAAATGTTTTACTGTACTTATTTTTTTTTTTCCAGTTTGCATGAATTTTATTTAATTAAACTAAAATTTATTGAAAGTTTTCAACGTTATACCAGTTATGCAAATACATACATTTGGTGTAGCATAGAAATCGGTGCCGGAAGGGCGGCTTAGGCACACGTACAAATGTTTAACAAAGGTATACATAATATAGGCATTGAAAATTGGGTGTTACCTTGGGGGCTTGGGGGTTCCACTTTCAATTTGCTACCGACGGCTATGTACAGTATATATAAGGAAAAAAAGTTAAAGCTGACAGACCTTCTTCTCGTCTTCTCCTTGTTCTCATTGAGGTTAATTATAAATGTGTACATGTAAATTAAAAAATAGTTTTTCGAAAGATATAATTACATGTATATATTACAAATTGATTCTCTCAGTTACTAAAATCTTATTCAAGAATTTTTGGTTTTATACATTATAACGCACTTCAAAGTGCGTTGAGTGTGTCCCAAATTTAACGTACATTGGTACAATTATAAATTTGTAATACATAATAATACATTTGTGATGTCTTTTAAATACAAACAAAATGTTTTCAACCTGAAAAAAGGAGACATTCCGGGATTTTAAAGTTGCTTACCGCACTTGGTTCAACAACTATGGCTGAATTTTGGGGATTTCCCGTGTGTTTGTAGGTTAGAAAAACAACAAGCCACGAAACTCGAGGACTTAGGATTATGGTTCTAATTTACCTATAATAAGGCCTAGAATTTTTGCATTGAAAGTCAACAAGGAATGAAATAAGTAAGTGTAATATGTTTTTGTGTAATGTATTTGTTGCGAATCGCAGAATGACTTTTTTTTCCTACTTTCGATTTAACTGATGATGAATAGGCGTTTCGAGGGGAAGTAAAACTTAAAGGTTTGATTAAAAATATAGAATTTGAGATTAAATTCACAACTTATCATGTTGATTTTTTAAATAAAAATAACATTTTAAATTTATTTGCAAGTCTAATCTCGGCAAGATTCGTAGAGACTTTTTGGTCTGGGGTAGTACATGCATGTTGTTGTACATTGTTCAAGTTCGACTGAATTTTTAGTCTCTACGAATCTTGCTCAGATTATTGCTTATATTGAGAGTTTTACTAAATACTTTTTGTTTTCGTTCCTGGTTATGTGTGTATGTGTCTTTGTATAAATAATGCATTGAACACAATTTTATTTGTAGAGAGTCCTTCAACAGTGGAGTTAGATAAATTTCTGCAGAATGTCAATGTATAGAGTGAGGGTGTGTTCTTATTGTCCTTCGGAAACCATTTTCTACTGCACCAGCTGTGGCAAGGATCTGTGTCGTCCGTGTAAGGGGAAACATATGATAGACCTAGACTGTTACAACCATGACGTGGTTCTATATCGTGAGAGGTACGGCTACTTCATCTACCCCGAATACTGTGAGATACACAAGGACAAGATCTACAACAGGTGGTGCGATGATTGTAACTTTCCTTTTTGTGATGTGTGTTATGTAGAGAAAGGAGGCGAACATAGTGGTCATGACGTTCAGGATCTGGACACGGTGTATAAAAAATATCGAGAGGAATACAGGAAGATTATAGCTGAAATCAGATGCGAGGTCCTGCCAAACAACCGTGCCATTCTGGCCGGAATAGAGCCAGACATAGCAGCGTGTGAGACTGAAATCGCAAACCTGGAGGAAAAAATGAAAGAGAAAGCAGAGAGGTTGAAGAAAATGATTGATGAAGTTTTAGCCAAGGATTGCCCCAAGAAGTTACAGCAGCTGGAGAAAGAGTTGATTGATAGATTAAACCGTCAGTGTGAGGATATGGAGAAACATATTGCCTACCTCCGAGATTTAGTCTACAAGTACGAACACTCCGCTAACAAACCTGCCGAGTTCCTATGTTTTCTCAGAGACAATCCCCTCACGGACATAAAGGACATTCCAGACAGCTGTACAGAACTTCCCATCCTGAAATATAATGAAGAGGTCACCAAAGAGGATGTTATTAAATTACTGGGGGAAATTAAAATTACGGAAGTCGGAATCAGGCAGGCCCAGAACGAGCACATGCTAAAGATGATACCAGAGGTCATTTTACTGCGATCATTCATGATCGAGGGTGTTAAGTCAACACGCCACATTTCAGGTGTGACGTCCAGGAAAATCTGGGTCAGTGATAGAAATAACCTCATCTTGGCTGACGAGTCAGGGAAAACACTGCATCAAGTGAAAGATAAGATTGATCGAGAATCGGGAGCACATACTGCCAGGGAGGAAGAAGAAGAGCTGATCTACATCGATAAAAAATTAAACGTAAAGAAACTGTCCAAAGACAACAAAACAGAAAACATCGTTGTCAAGAGGGAGGATAATTGGGAGCCACTGAGTGTCTTCTGTACGCTGGAGAAAGGGGATATCTTGGTGGCCATGATGATCCACTCTCTAGCCCAGGCCAAAGTGGTGTGTTATGACAAAGATGGGAAGGAGGAACAGACGATCCAATATGATGACAAGAGTGATGCCTTGTATAACATCCCACGATTTATCACAGAGAACCACAATGGAGATGTGGTGGTGTCCAACCACATGGAAGCCAGCGGTACCGTGGTAGTCACAGACAGCAGCGGAAAACACCGCTTCTCCTTCACGGGTCCGCCCAAAGAATCCGGATTCAGACCGGGGGGGATATGTGTAGATGGATTGGGGAACATCCTGGTGTGCGATGAACATACGAACTCCGTTCAGCTGATAGACAAAAATGGCCAATTCCAGCGGTATCTGCTGACGGAAAACGATGGGATTGTAAAACCTCGTAGTCTGGGTTACTGCAACAAAGACCACGTGGTTCTGGTGGGCTCAGCCTCCAGTGGTAAAATTACAGTCCACCGACACCTCAACAGGCAGGATTATCTGGCAGGTAAATCTCAGGGACCATCTGTGACATTAATTTAATAATTCTAGTCCTTCCTTAAGTTACAGTGTTAGAAAACTCAAAATATCTAAATATGTGTATCCTGCACATCATTACATGTACTAAATGTATGCTTTGGAAATATACAAAGTAACTTTGCTTGCAGCTGCTTCCATTTTATACATGGTATACCTATCACAAGTCATTTAAGACAAATATTTATTGGCTAAGAAAAATTTTATTTATAAATGGTTCATCATATTAATGACATGGATCAGGATGTACCAGTAATAAGAATTTACAAATCAATGCATGATTTAAACTGAAAAAAAACCCAGAGAAATGTCTTCGTTTCGTTTTAGTACCTTTACTCTCAGAAGAAGAACTTGAAAGGAAGAAGAAAAAGAAGAAGAAGAAGAAGCCTGAGACAGATACTGCTCTATGAGAGGTGTTCAGCAGAATGGATGGTGTTCAGGGGTCGGGGAAGTTGTTCTGGAATTTTAGTGGGATAATGTCTCAGCATGGGAGTACATATATTTCAAGTCAAAGACATGTAAAGCTAAGATACAAGACATTGATATACATGTACATATCATATACATTATGTTGTAAGAAAACTCAAGGAATTGATACTACAAAAAAGCACTAGTTTAATCTGTAGATGTATGTGTTATCTTATGTTATGTCAAAATGTACAGTCAAACCTTGTTACCTCTAACTTTGAGATATCCAAACGTTCAAGATACATGTACCTTAATATAAGTGGAAATTTTAGCGAGAGACAAATTTAGCGATTTGACCTTAAAAATGGGTACTTTAATTAATCTTAGCAAGATTAGATGTAATTTTAGTGATTTTAAAATGCCCACTATAGAAGCTATTACAAAAATAAAATGCAATTAATTTTTAGCGATATTTAATTTTAGCGATCTCAAAACCCTTGCTAATAATGCCAAAATTAAATCCTCGCTAACATTTCTGCTTATACGATATTGTATTATTGAGTATAAAATTCTTTAAGAAGAGTGGGTTGACAAACTTTACTTTCAATTCACTTCTGTATTCGATATCAGATGCATTCCAGGTGGCAGGTACCAAGTTCAACTATATTACTTCTTTTAAACAGAAGAACTACACTGTACATGTATGTGATTTATTTCTGTTTTAATTTTGTGAACTGTAGTATGAATGGACATGAATTAAACTTGTTTGTGGATTATTCTGTGTATTAAAAAAATTATACTGCATTACTGAGCATATATGTTGTATATATTATTATAGATATATTGATTGTGTGAGTTTGTTTGAAAGTGTTTTTGCCAAATATTGTACAGGCCATTTGACATGAAACAAAGTTTCACAGCCATGTACATTGTATTTTAAGATTTGTGTTGGTGTTGAAGGGCTTGTAGTCATAAGCATCAAAGAAATCATATATGTTTATACGACATTGTTGATTAAGTATTGCTTGTGATAATGAATTGTTTATACCGGTGAATTTTTACATTGATTTACAAACATGCCAAATTTTCTCTGTCTATGATATGTCATGTCATGTCTTTATTATAATTTTACGAAACACACATTCTGCTGTTTTAATAACCAAAACTAGTATGATATAATTCAGCAATGTGTTATACATGTATTTATGCACGTTGGTGATTATAATAAAGATGGTTGGATTTATTCAAATATTTTACTTTAATTGTCAGCTAGTAAAAAGATTTTTTTTCTGAACCCATTCAAGGAGAAATGATTAACCACACTAGAGGTTTGCTATCATATGTATCAAGCTCTGGTCCAAATTTTGCAGCATAAGGTCAATCAGGCTATTATAGCATATACTATAGAAGTGGAACACATTATGATGTTTTTAATTTCACTATGTGTTCACGATTAAAAATTTTTGGTGAACTTTAAATCATGGTGATTTTTATTATACCCCTCATAAACCGCTGCACAGAATTTCGTCAAACTTTGCAGATATTTAGGACATAATGTGTAGATGTGCATATTACCAGGAAATTCCGATTCCAATATTTTTTTTTTTTTTGAATTTCCGCACTTTTTAACTTAGACATTTGGCCATACCTGGAATATAGAGATGAACAGTTTGTCAGCGTAACTCCTCATAAACCGCTGCACAGAATTTCGTCAAACTTTGGAGATATTTAGGACACAATGTGTAGATGTGCATATTGCCAGGAAATTCTGATTCCTTTATTTTTCTGGGAATTTTGGCACTTTTCAAATTAGATTTTTGGCCATACCTTGAATATACAGATGAACATTTTGTCAGCGCGACCCCTCATAAACCGCTGCACAGAATTTCGTCAAACTTTGCAGGTATTTAGGACACAATGTGTAGATGTGCATATTACAAGGAAATTCCGATTCCATTATTTTTTCCGGGAATATCCACACTTTTTAACTTAGGCATTTGGCCATACCTGAAATATAGAGATGATCAGTTTGTCAGCGCAACTCCTCATAAACCGCTGCACAGAATTTCATCAAACTTTGCAGATATTTAGGACACAATGTGTAGATGTGCATATTACCAGGAAATTCTGATTCCTTTATTTTTTCCGGGAATTTTTGCACTTTTTAACTTAGGCATTTGGCCATACCTTGAATATGGAGATGAACAGTTTTTCAGCGCAACTCCTCATAAACCGCTGCACAGAATTTCGTCAAACTTTGCAGGTATTTAGGACACAATGTGTAGATGTGCATATTACCAGGAAATTCTGATTCCAATATTTTTTTTTTTGGATTTTCCGCACTTTTTAACTTAGGCATTTGGCCATACCTTGAATATAGAGATGAACAGTTTGTCAGCGCAACTCCTCATAAACCGCTGCACAGAATTTCATCAAACTTTGCAGGTATTTAGGACACAATGTGTAGATGTGCATATTACCAGGAAATTCCGATTCCTTTATTTTTCTGGGAATTTCGGCACTTTTCAAATTAGATTTTTGGCCATACCTTGAATATAGAGATGAACAGTTTGTCAGCGCGACCCCTCATAAACCGCTGCACAGAATTTCGTCAGACTTTGCAGATATTTAGGACACAATGTATAGATGTGCATTTTACCAGGAAATTCCAATTCCTTTATTTTTCTGGGAATTTCGGCACTTTACAACTTAGATTTTTGGGGATATCTTGAATATAGCGATGAACAGTTTGTCAGCGCAACTCCTCATAAACCGCTGCACAGAATTTCATCAAACTTTGCAGATATTCAGGACACAATTTAGATGTGCATATTACCGGGAAATTCCGATTCTTTCATTGTTTCCGGGATTTTCAGCACTTTGAGTTTTGGGGGAGCGTGGGGTATGTGAGCTTGCTCACTTTTTCTTTCATTTCACTTCATTTTTACCTAAAACAGGCACAGAACCTGACTATTTATAAAACAATTCTCCATGAAATTAAAATTAAAACTACCCTGATAGTTAACTTTTCAACAAACCATGAAATTTTTTACGACTTCGATCTACAGTATTTGTGCTAGGCAGCCAGTGATGCTTGGTATCACTATGGGAGCCTTTATATAAATACATAACTTTGATGTATATAGGACTGCGCGGTAGAATACATAGTAGGAATTATTTGCATTTTCAATACTCTTGGAATACTTAAATGTGCATTTTCTTGACTTAATTTAATAATTTATCGTAAAAATATAACATTTATACGCCCCCCCCCCCCCCCCATAGCTGCAGATCTGTAGCGTTATGGTTTTATAGATGTATAAATTTGTCTTTGACCACAACGCTACAGATCCCGTAATACAAAAAGTGCAATTTATGGCCCAATATTTTTGCGCACTTTTGAGGAGAATTTCTCCACTTCCTAGCATCGGTCAATCAACTACCTTTCATTCCCTAGTTCTTGACACATTCTGTAGCCAGTATGTATATTTTATTAGGTCTCCTGAGTTTTGGGTGACCTATTGCTATCCGTTTTCGTCCGTCGTTGTGCGACGTTTGTCGTCCATCGTGTGTTAACATTTGAACATTTTCAGCTTCTTCTCTGAAAACACTAAACCAATTTCAACCAAATTTGGTACACAACATCTATGGGTGAAGGGGAACAAAAATTGTGAATTTTACGGTCCCCGCCCCCCCCCCTCCCCCCTGGGGCCTGAGGGGTGGGGCCAAAATTACTAAAATTAATGAACTGTTTAAAAATCTTCTTCTTTACTCTTTAAGCAGGCAAACTGTTGGTGTGAATGTAATGAGCATTGAGTGCTCTACCAAAATTATGAAATTCATGACTATGGAGCGCCAAATTCACAAAAATGAGCAAAACATAGTTTCACAGTCGATAAACAAGGTTTATCGCTTGTAAACTATAGATTACGGACTATAAACTATAGTTAACAACGTTAATCTATATTTTACATTTGTAAACCAAAGTTAACGCGACAATCTATGTTTCACAACCGTAGAACTATACTTAACACCGAAAACAATCATTTGCGATTGCAAAACATAGATTATCTGATACAGTTTCACGATTTTTAAACTATAGTTTACAAACCGTTAACTATAGTTAACGATCTGATAAATATAGTTTCACAGTTTGTGAAGCTATGATTAACAACTCCTAACCATAGTTTACGATTGTAAACTATATTTTACAAACGTGAATATATGTTTATCAACAAAATCTATTGTTAACGCTTATTACAGACAGATAAACTTAGATTAGCATTCGTAAACAATAGTTAACAACCGTTAAATATAGTTTTACATATGAAAACTATACTTAACGAATCGTTAACTATAGTTTACGGTTTATAAACTATAGTTTACAGTCGATAAACCTTAAGTTTATCAATTGTGAAACTAGATTTAGCTCAGCCTCCAGTGGTAAAATAACAGTCCATCGACATCTCAACAGACAGGATTATCTGGCAGGTAAATCTCACAGATCTTCTGTGACACTTTAATATTTATTAATAATAATTCTAGTCTCTTCTTAAGTTACAGTCGTAAGAAAACTCAAAATATTTAAATACATGTATGATGTGTATCTTGTACATCATTACATATCAATGCCTGATTTAAATTGATAAAAACCTTAGAAATGCTTTTGTTTCTATTACAGTTCCTTTACTATCAGAAGAAGAACTTGAAAGGAAGAAGAAGAAAAAGAAGAAGAAGAAGCCTGAGACAGATACTGCAGAATGAGAAGTGTTCAGCAGAATGAATGAATGGTGTTCAGGGGTCGAGGAAGTTCCAGCTTAGGATATTTCTGCATAATGTTGTTCTGAAGATTTAGTGCAAGAATGTTTCTGGGTGGGAGTACATACATTTCAAGTCATGTAAAGCCAAGATACAAGACATTGATATACATGTACATATCATATACATAATATATACGTTGTAGGAAAACTCAAGGAATTGATACTACAAAAACACTAGTTTAATCTGTAGATGCATGTGTTGAGTGTGAAGTACTAGTACTTTACTTTTATATGAAATATATTTTATTACAAGACTTTCAATTAATAAATGCAATTTGTACAGACCATATGTACATACTTGAATGTCATCTGAATTTTTTTTGTCTATTGAATGGCAGGATTCCAAATTAGATTTTTTTATATGGCAAGTATTCATTGTTCTGTATTGGATTAGTGGAAATTGAGTTCTATTGTCATGATTTGTAGTCTGATTTCTTTAATATACAACTTAGTGGGAACTTATATCAAAATGTTTCCAGTCCATAGACTAAAAGGATATACTATAGTCCATGAATAATTAATGATGATGTTTGTATTGATTTTGATTCTTCAGGTTTGTATGATTGATTGATTGTTTAGGTTTTATGCCAAATTAGTTATATTTCAGCCATGATTCAGCAGACAGATGAATATTGTCTGCAAGACGTTTTTTTTTAATAAATATTATTACAACCATATTGTTAGTGATTGTGTCCATATGTTGGGTCAAAATGTACAGTCAAACATTGTTATCTCTAAATCTGAGATATCCAAATGTTCATGATACCGTATGAGTGGAAATTTTAGCATGAGACAAATTTAGCAATTTGTCCTTAAAAATGGGTACTTTAATCTTAGCAAGATGTAATTTTAACAATTTTAAAATGCTCACTATAGAAGCTATTACAAATGAAATGCAAGTAGATATTTTATTTTTGTGATCTTAACACCCTCGCTTGCGAAAATTAAATTCTCTCTAACATTTCTGCTTATACATGTATGGTATTGAGGAAAAAATTCTATAAGAATGAGTGGTCTGGACTTCCAATTCACTTCAAGATATCCTTTTGTATTTGAGATATCAGTTGCATTCCAGGTACCAAGTTCAACTGTACACATTACTTCTGTTTATACAGAACTATACTGTACGTATGTAAGTGAATCATTTTTGTTTTAACTTGTGAACTGTAGTATGAATGGACATGAAGTTTTTTGTAGATTTTTCTCTGTATTCAAACATTTATTTTGTATTATTGAGCATATATGTTGTATATATTATTATAGATATATTGATTGACTGTGAGTAACAGCTTGTCTGAAAGTGTATGGCCAAATATTATACAGACCATTAGACATGAAACAAAGTTTAATCGCAGCCATGTACATTGTATTTCGAGATTTGTGTACGTGTTGAAGGACTTGAAGTCATAAGCATCAAAGAAACCATAGTTTATACGACATTGTTAATCATTGCTTGTGATAATGAATTGTTTATACCGGTGAGTTTTTACATTGATTTACAAACATACCAAATTTTCTCTGTCTATGATATGTCATGTCTTCATTATAATTTTACAAAACACACATTCTGCTGTTTTAATAACCAAAACTAGTATGATATAATTCAGCAATGTGTTATATTTATGTTTGGTGATTATAATAAAGATGGTTGGATTTATTCAAATATTTTGCTTTAATTGTCAGGTAGTAAAAAGATTTTTTTTTTCTGAATCCATTCAAGGAGAATTGATTAATCACTTGAGTTTTGCTGTCATCTGTATCAAGCTCTGGTCCAAATTTGCAGCATAAAGTCAATCAGGCTAATTGGCATCCAACATATACTATAGAAGTGGAACACATATACTATAGAAGTGGAACACATTATGATGTTTTCAATTTCACTATGTTCACGATTAACAATTTTCGGTGAACTTTAACTCATGGTGATTTTTATTTCACTTCATTTTTACCTAAAAACAGGCACAGAACATGAATATTTATAAAACAATTCTCCATGAAATTAAAACTACCCTGATAGTTAACTTTTTGACAAACCATGAAATTTTTGACGACTTCTACAGTATTTGTGCCAGGCAGCCAGTGATGCTTGGTATGATCACTATGGGAGCCTTAATATAAATACACAACTTTGATGTACATATAGTACTTCGCGGTAGAATACGTAGTAGGAATTAAGTATTTGCATTTTCAATACTCTTGGAATGCTAAATTGTGCATTTTCCTGACTTATTTAATTAAAATCAATGAAATAATTTATCGTAAAAATATAACATTTGTACGCCCCACCCAGCTGCAGATCTGTATAGCGTTATGGTTTTATATGTAGTTATACAAGTCATGTATTTGTCGTTGACCATAACGCTACAGATCCCGTAAAACAAAAACGTGCAATTTACGGCGCAATATTTTTGCGCACTTTTGGGGAGATTTTCTCCACTTCCTATCACTGGTCAATCAACTACCTTTCACTCCCTAGTTCTTGACACATTCTGTAGCCAATATGTATTTTTTTTTATCTACCTTCCAACCATTTAAAGTTGTCTCTGCAGGTAATAAACTCGCTTGAAGTGAATTTTTAGCAATCTAACAAATAATTTTAATCAAGCGAATATATCACTTGTAGAGACGACTATGAAGGGTTGGGAGATAGATAAAATATACTGATTAGTTAAATAATGTGCCTCAAATTAGAGAGTGAAAAGAAGTTAATTGATCGATATGCTGGAAAGTGGAGAAACTCTCCCCAAAATAGCGCAAAAAATATTGCGCCGTAAATTGCACTTTTTTTTCAATTATATAGGATCTGTACATGGTCAAAGACAAATATATAAAACCATAACGCTACAGATCTGCAGCTAGCCCCCCCCCCCCCTGCATGCATTTAACATTCAGTGTCACAAACGGTTCTTAAATGTACATCTTTAAAGTACAACAGGTCACATGCACCCAGTGAAGTGCGGATAATAACCCCAACCCCCCACCCCCCTAAATTCTCAAATAGATCTCAAAATTATATCTCAAAAAATATAAATTTTCCCCGTCAAAGCACACCTACGAGGGGTGATCAAAAAGTTCGCAAACTAATTGAATAACTTCCATACAAGAAACAATATTTGGTTTTAATGTATATATAAGAAAAATTATACAATCTATATTTATATCTTTCTCATTTTTCCTGGTTCAAATGATTATCTCATGTGTACAGTGTAGAATACACCTGTATGTCTACGTTTCAGTGTATTTTAAATAAATTTAAAGTCCGACTTGACAACCTGTTACCTAATATGCACACCAAAAACTAGGTCATTCAGGCAGGCAACCAATCTCTACCCAGAGTTATCGTTCCACTTAGCGAAGCGAACGACAACTCTGGGTAGAGATTGGTAGGCAACACCCGACAAACATGGCTGCTAGTGCCTCAAAAAAATACCCACTGGGCTCTCCTCAAGAACACATTGTAATGTGTGAATCTCACGATTCACCCATTGATATGATATGTGAGGACTGTGTTGAAATTATTTGTTCTGAGTGTGCCAAAAAAGATCATAACAATCATAATTGGAAAACTCTAACCACGGCAGCAACCCAAAGGAGGAGGGGTCTATTTAAATTTCTGAAGAAGATCAAGGAAGAGGATCTGCCTGGGATTGATGAGAAGAAACAGAAGATATCAAAACAGATCAAAGAAAATAAAGAACTGTGTGACTCTGAGATTAAAAAGCTACAGAAACATTGTGAAGATATTATAAACAGGCTGACAGAAATCAAAGAACACCGTGAAAAAATACTACGAGACAATTTGGTTAAAAAGAATGATCAACTGAACCATGTGAATTTTGAGTTAGAGAAGAAAAAGAAAGGAATTGTTGACACAGTGGAATTCATGGAGGAGAACAACAGCACCATGTCAGATTACAGTTTGATTGACAACCACAGAGAACTAAATAGAATGCTGTCTGAATTGGAGGTTCATTTGACAAACTGTGAATATTCAGCGAGGTTCATTAGAGGTGAAATCAATGAAGACGTACTTAAATCTTTGGTTGGAAAAACTTTTGATTTGGATGATATTGGCTTAACTCAAATAAACTCATTTCAATATGGAGATAAACCAATATCTGTTTTGAAGGCTTTCAGTGAAGACCAATGCTACATCAAAGAATATCAACCTAAATATACTGAAAAAGTCAACACACAAGGTACAAAAGAACATAAATTTAGTATTTTCCCTAATGACATGTGTGTGACTGATAATGGCGGTGTTTATTTCTCTAACTATATTGACAAGTCCGTCAGCCGTCTCTCACCATCAGGATCTGTATCTACAGTCATCAGTACAGATCCACTGGTACCAGCAGGAATCTGTCAGTCAGTGGACGGTGGACTACTGGTCACCTTGACAGACAAGAAATCAGATCGTTACAAATTAGAGTCACACAGCAGGCGTCTGGTGAGACACATCACAGTGACAGGTGATGTCATCCATGAGTATGAGTACCAGGAGGACGGTCACACCAGACTGTTTACATGGCCAATCAGAGTCAAACAGAACAGTAACAGTGATATCTGTGTTGTAAACTGGACAAGTACCACTACAGGTGAACTAGTGATTATGTCTCCCTCTGGTCATATGAAGTCTGTCTACCGTGGACAGAATCTGACAAAGGACTTCTGTCCAACTGATGTAGTGTGCGACTCCCTTTGTAACATCCTTATTACTGACATGAACAATAAACAAATCCATCTGCTGAGTCCTGATGGGAAGTTCCTGAAGTTCTTACTGACAGACAATGAAGTGAGCTGTCCAATCAGATTATCAGTGTACAAGTCCACACTGTGGGTGGGATATAGGGAAGGACTTGTCAAAGTGTTTCAATATAGAATGTAAATATAAAATACCTTTAAATTACTTGAAATTAGAAGTTATTTGAAATCATGTCTTGAAAAAATCATCTAACTGTATAAAATTAAACAACACCTTTTCTTCTTTCTTTTGATATTAAATCAATGCTCATACCTGTATGAATATTCATTGCAATCACTTCCCATAATACACATTGTTAGATACTCGTGACATTACACAATGCTGGTCTTAAATTGTACAGGTTAAAATCAATACCTCACATCTTGAAAGAGGCCTTAAGAGGGTACATAAAACAGAAAATGAATCATCTTTTTAATGGTTTAATTACAATTTACAAACAATCTTCATTAAAGTTTGAAAGTCTTGTAATTTTAAATTTTAAAATAAATGTACATCATTACATGTACCATTTTTGGCAAATTCACAACATAGTACCGGTAAAATACTTGCAATTGGTTTCCATCATGATACAAAATCACCTTGTTCAATTCAAACACTATTGATCTGGGTGGTGGATATCTCCAAAAACATGGACATGATAAACACAGATAAAATTTTCATATGCATGATTACAAGCATTTCCCTGACCAGCCTTTCTATAAATCCACAGAAGACCCATGACATTGACATAATTAACAACCTAAAATGTCGCACATGAACGGGTCAGGTCTTCTTCTTATGATTTCTCATTCACTTCACCCCACAGAACGGGAATACTGTCCTGAACACATTGACTTTGTTGGTGTGTCTGTATGTTGTATGATTTTAACAGTCATTATTTCACCCCATGACCATCATACGTGGCGCGATGCTCATTGACATCAGCTCTTGGAAGAGTAGCTTACAGGCGTACGGAATACGAATCTGTGAGATCTGAAAGGACAGCATCAAAATGAAAGTAAAAATCACAAAATGAAAGTAAAATCACAAAATGACAGCATAAACAAAATCAAAGAATTTACCGGTATTTTGTAAAACATACACAGGATACATTCATTCTTTTTCCTTATGGTACAATGACAGAAACATTTTGTATTTTTACAAAATATTTTACACAAAATTATACGTTCAGAACTTGACAGTTTTGTAATTTACAGCCAGCACATGAAAAATCTTAATTACATCTTGAATTTGTTCCCCCTTAGACCTCACAATCAGACAACCATCGTTTCTTTTACAAGTCTACATCTAAAGTGTCTGTGTATATATCCTTACCTGTGTCTTGTTTTTGCAGCCTCTGCATTCAAACGTTTGGTTCCTTAGGTTTGCTATAGCAATGAGGCCACAGAAGTTACACACATGTACTCTGTAGGGATCTGAAGCCTCAAAGAGTCGCTCTCGCAGGAACTGGGCGGCACCGTGGGCGATCTGACAGTCACGCTCCATTTCACCAAATCGTAATCCTCCATCTCTGGAAAAATTAATAAATGATTATTCTGTAGTTCCAGTATAGAAGAACTCTATAATGCTACAACAAAATACATGTATATGTATGTACATGAAGAATACTGATCTATTGATAAAAGTTCCTGTTAATATCACCAACAAAAAATTACACTAACTTGCATTTTATTATGCATACATGTGACTGCAAAAATCTATGAATTGTCTGCAGATGGCAAACAGTCATTAATGTACAGATAGAAAACCATGCATGCAAGAAAATGGTTGAACTCCAAAATACAGCTCAAGTGAGCTAGTAGTACTGGAAGGTCTAAGATTAGTTCTAGATGGCTGTTTATACCTAGCTCTGCCTTCCATGGGTTGTCTGTTCAGGATCTGTAGCGGCCCTCGAGCCCGGGAGTGGATCTTGTCGTCCACCATATGCTTCAGTCTCTGGTAATAAGTGGGACCCAGGAAAATCTGAGCATTTAGCTTCCTTCCTGTGAATCCATTGTACAGCACCTGGGAAAATCAGAAAAATCTCGATAATTACAACCTTACCAAGGACTTCAAACCAGGGATAAGAAACAATGCACAAGTATGTGTCACAGATCTGCTGGAAAACTATGAAATTTAATTAATTTTTATCACCACCATCCAATGAATCGATAAAGTTTAAGTAACATTAATACTATGTCATCAACTGACTAGTTTATATTGTCAAGTAAAAATTTCTAGTAATAAGCTATATCCCATGACCTAGTTTTCTGGAAGCGACATTTCTACTGACCTCGTTCCCTCGTAAGTGGTAGCCGTACTGATGTAGGAGGTTGGAGACTTTCTGTACATTGACGGCATCGTTGAATGGCGTGGCATCACCTATCTCCCCCTTGTTAGCCGCCACTTTCCCCTGCAGACACTCGATCAAGTGACCGATGGTCATACGACTGGGAACAGCGTGGGGGTTAATGATGATATCTGGAGTGATTCCCTCACAGGTAAACGGCATGTCCTAAAGTAAAAACTTAGAGTCAATTATACAAGTTTTGGAGAAGTAATACACACACACAATTTTGTGAATTTTCAAACTGCACGAAGATCATCCAAAATTGCGGTTTGCAGTGTATTTTTTTTTCAATAAATTGAATAATCATCATTAAGTTTGAATAAATTTTCAAAAGGAAAAGTTGAGCTATCACTATTATTAATAACCCCCTTATTTTGTGGTAAGTTTACCTCCTGTCTGTATGTGATCCCACACGTTCCCTTCTGTCCGTGACGACTGGCAAACTTGTCCCCAATCTGTGGCGTCTTCACTGTCCGTACCCTGATTTTGCAGAACTTGTAACCTTCCTGATTCAGAGTTATCATCACCTTAATAATAAATGAGATGCATGTAAACGTGAACACATCAGCCACACACACAGAATCTGCTACCACACAGCTAAAACCAATTTTCACTTCCCCCATTCACAGAAACAAGATCTTTATTATTTAAGGGTAAATGATCAATCATTTCATTATGGTAGAAATATTTTAAGAAATTTAACTGTAAAGTTAATGTACATTTTATTAAAATAAACTTTTAACAGAAATTTTACCTGCTATTCTGTGAAACACTGGTGTAAATGAAATGTAACTTTTTACATACTCACTAGTACATGTATCAAGTTCCCACTATCTGTAATGTAGTTACCTGGTCTATGATTCCCGTTTCACTTCTCCTCATGAACACACTGGCGTCTCGTTTTGTGAATCTCTTTGTTGTTCCCTCCAACTGTAATGTAAATGTACATTTAATATACTCAAATAAACTTTAATTAACATTTTCCAATAATACCATAATTTCATTTCAAAAAACAATAAGTATTAATATTTTGCATACTAAACTACAACCTATCCCATGTTTTCTTGCCAAGAGGCAAACTTTCCATAATTTTGCCTACAGTCAAGATGTATTCCCAAATATTTTACCTCATCTTCATTGGCAGGAAGTGTCAATGTCTTTCCTATCAACACGTCATCTCCTGAGACTCGTATTCCAGGGGAGATTATTCCATCCTCATCAAGTTTGTCATAAACTGCTTGTCTCATACCTGCAAAATTAATATCAAGATTTGTAAAATGCTATTCATGTGCCTCATATTTTAAGTGTATTAAAGTAGAACCTACAACCAAAATATACATTGACTTGGTTACAATATTTGGCAGAATAGTCTACTTTTTCAAAATTTTTCACTTGGGACTTCTTTTTCTCGAACAACATTTCAAGTACAAACAAATTGTCTAAACTGAAAGTTCCAAACGCGTTTTCTTCATGTATTACAAACTCAAATGCCGTCCACCTTAGAATATCTCTGAAGATTTCTATGGCCCCATAAAGTCCAAAATAACGATGTTTGACTTTACAAGTACATCTGCAGAAATATTTCAGAGTGTTGATAGATCATCTATATGTACCAACCTTGGACACTCTCTCGCGTTGGTTTCTCAAATATCTCCTCCTGATCTAAGCCTTTCTTGGATTCTGAGTCTTTATAGGAACGGAAGAAAAATGATCTACAATAAAGTGAGACTATTTACAATCATGCATCCTTCAATGCACAAACAGGTCAACTACCATGACATAAGCTGAATGATATAGAAGCTAATACAATGGCTTCCACAACACATCTACTTGTAAATCATGTTTGTGAATAACTCTATGACCTGAAGAACACACAAAAGCCATTAACAATATACATGTATCTACATCATTTATCAGCTGTTTATGATAGCCTCAGTTACCTGAAGAAGCCTCTCTCAATGGCCGAGGCATTAATGATGACAGAATCTTCCTGATTATATCCTGTGTACGACGCAATGGCCACGATAGAATTAATACCTACAAACACACAAACATCACATATAAAATGACTATATACGATGTAGATTAGACTGTTGTATAATGCACACTGTAAAATATGCTTACAGAAAACTTGCTCTTAATAAATTTTATTTACCCAAGGTTTGAAACATGTTGTGAAACAAATGAATAAAATCAATCAAATTTTGCACAAATCAGAGTTTTTTCGTCCTTGGGATGGCATTATAACCGTGTTTTACTTACTGTACGTGTTAAGATGTCACCTACCTGCGGGCAGCTCTCGGAATCGTAGATATTCCATAGATCGGGTGGTGACTAGCGGTTTCTGGGGGTAGAGGAGTCCGTGAGCCAGGGTGTCCATTCTGACGTGGAAGTTAGTGATGTAGACACCCATGGCTTGTTTACCCATAGCAGACTGGTAAGTGTTACGAGGAGACTGAAATAGCAAGCAGACTGAAACCTGCAGCACTATCATAAACTACAGCATATGATACGCTTTTAAAAGTAATTTAATCTTCCAAAGGAAATCGGACAGGTTTTTACATAAATCCCCCCCCCCCCTTTTCTCCTACACTGCACAAATCAGATCAAAGTTAATTGAGATTTATTTGTAGTAAAACTAAATCAACATCTGAACCTCTTCAATCTTGTTAATGTTAAACATCTATCATTTCCTAAAACCTGATTCACAGTTACACCAAATCTTTTCTATTTTCCCACCATTTTTTAAGACTAACAAGAATGTCCACTGACCTGGTTATGATCCGGGAATGGGATGATGGAGGCGCAGACTCCCAGGATCATGGCCGGGTGGATCTCACAGTGGGTGTAGGTAGAACAGTACTGGACGTCCTTGTCCGAGAGGTCATCAGGGGTCATGGCCAACATGATGGACTCCTCCTCTAGAGGGTCAATGTACTCTACAACACCACTGGCCACCAGGTCCTGCCAGCTACAACAGAGAGATGTACATATAGAAAACCTACAGAGACTTATACTCCACAACACCACTGGCCACCAGGTCCTGCCAGCTGTAATAAAGAAATGTACATGTAGCAAACTTTCGGACAGCTTTTTGTTGGACAAGACAGAAGTTGATGAAAGCAGGTCTTGGCCTTTTATCAGTTAAATACAGAAAGCTTATAGACAGCTACAGCACCATAACTAGCAAGTTTCTGGTCAACCACGACCTGTTCAACTTGCATATATATAAGGAACTTTATATATTGAATTTTGCTTTTTAAAAGAACATTGCACCTAAAAACCTTAGCATATTACTAGCAAGTACAAATGTTCAGTAATACAACTAGCTCCTAAGTGCCATTTTAAAAGCTGCTGAATTTCAAAGATCAATATCCTACTAGTGATGGGGAATCGGAAAAAAATCAGAATCGATTATCGGTAATAATCGGCTGGGCATAATCGATTAATAATCGATTATAATCGAAATTTTAAACTCTAATGAAATTAATATAGAAAAGTTAAAACTTATTCAGATTTCTGTCAGACTTTTACAAAAAATCATTTACTTACATAAAATATTCAAAAATATTAATTGAAATTTCTTTTTTAAAATGTGGAAAACAATATTTTGTTTACTTTGAACAATATTGGACTAATGAATCAGAAGGGAAATTTATTTTTTTAGAAAGTCCATGCAATGGGTATTTTACTGGTATTAGTCCTACCTATCATTTAATACATGTATTTATTTCTAAAAATTAGTTTTAATTAGTTAAAATTGCAAGTTTTAAAAGTAGTTATCCAGATGTAAAACATATTTCTGATTATGATTACGTTTAAAGATAGACTAGGCTAATTATGTTTTCCTTTGTATTGTTAAACCTTGCAATATCACCGTTTCCTGGTATTAGTCTTACCCCAAAAATCATGGCGGTAAAAGTATCAACAAGACACAGAATCCTTCCATGTTTTCAACTTTCATCACTACTTTTATGCTCTTTGCACTTGGATTTGGTAATAAAATTAAAGTATGACAATTTTATTTTTTGTTAGCGATGTCGGCGACATTTATTATATAATCGATTAGTAGCATCGAAGAGCTTCTAACGACCGACAATCGATCGTTGGCGACAATCGTTACATCACCATATCCTACATTAATGATCCGCTGAATCCTTTGTTTTTTTAGGTACCCCTCACCTGTAATTGTTATACTCTCTTTGTTTGAGTTGTTTTATATGGCTCTGTTTTAGCAGTAGTTTCTGATTCTCTACAATCAGCAGAGGACGACAAATACGACCAGCGTCTGTGTAGATACGGATCTCTCTGTCCCTGATATCTCGAATCATAGACACCTGAAAACAAAACAAGAACGTGAAAAGTGTTTATCTTTTGAATTCTGTCAGCACCGCACAGTATCAATTCCATATTAACATGTGGAATATTTTGTGTGATTTTCAAAGATTTCATGATGACCATATTCTGTAACATGGTTAAACTGAAGGGTTAATAGCAAACCCTGAAAGTTTCTACTTGTTATACATGTTATATATCTAAAAGACCCTAATGGTCTGAATTTCATGTACACTCGGACCCTTACTGATTTGATCACAATCTACAAATACTGTATAATGCCATCATCTATTAGGCATTTAAAAAGCATGCTCTATCAAATGATTAATCAATAAAATTGAATCATGCCAATTTCTAACAGGATATGACACTTTGTAATACATGTCTCTCAATAGGATTTCTGCAGTCTTTACCTCTGAGACAATGATGTCCATTTCTCGGCGGAGTTTACGGAGAGTGTTCATGAGCTGTTCTGGATCTCGATGAATGCCGACCCAACAACCGTTCACAAAAATTTTGGTTGCGCTACAAAATTATCAAATTAATACACTAAACAGGTCAGGTAACACAAATCTAACAAACAATTCTATATACAACTAGCATACAGTCTTGCAAATAAAAATCTATCTTTAAGAATGAAAAAAAAAACACTGGCAATTATAATACACAACATTTTGTCAACAAGTCCTTATGTATAACACTTTTCAATGACTACTGTCCAAATTACCAATGGAACCTGCTCTATAAATAGACCCAGTTACACTTCAGTGCCTCGTGGTCACTGGGTGCCACCCTATAGAACCACTTACTCCTGAATGGCTGAGGGAGCCACCTCCTCCAGATTCTCCATGCTCCACTCCTCCAAGAATTCCAGGATAGGAGAGGGCTGGGAACCCACAGAAATGTAGGCCATCAGGGCCAAGTTCTTCACCAGGCCTACAGCACTTCCCTACAATAGAGACAAAATCAAGATCAAAATGTACACATAAATGTAGAAAAAACCTACAGCATTTCCCCCAAAACATAGAAAAATCAGGATTAGTATGCAAGTTTAGAATAAAATTTTGAAGTTTTATAAATGAATATATGCGAAAACAAGCAATTAAGAAATTTCATTAAGCATCATGTAGTTAAATAAGAACAAATTCATGGTATTTTTTTTGTTTTTGAACTTTCATGTATGTCATTGGTACATCCATAACTTTATAAAGCCATACTGAAAAGTTTTAAAATTATCTCTTTCTACATTCTGACCATTTTCTGAATGTTTATTTTATCAGAATACTGACCTCTGGGGTCTCGGCAGGACAGATCATCCCCCACTGTGTGTTGTGTAGCTGTCGAGGTCGAGCTAGCTTTCCATCTCGACCGATCGGTGAGTTTAGTCTCCTCAGATGAGATAGAGTGGAGGCAAATGTTAATCTGTTTAACACCTGAAACAATACACAAGATTAAATGATTTTATATTTCTTTAGCTACTGCAATCCTGATTTTATTTCTAAAATGCAGATGATATTACAAAGTCAACATCATTCTTGTACATGTACATTTTGACGATAGATATACGACTCATGACCCCCATTTCTATACCTTAACATACCCCAAGACTGACTGTGGATAAGCAACTTAGACTTAACTACCCCCAACCTTCTGGCCTGATACTTCATCCATCCCCCCACTCCTTCCATTTTCCTGACCCTGGAGCTTACCTGTAAGACCCTTGCTCTGGCCTGGTGACCCTTCATTTAACCCCCTCCGCCCATTTTCCCAACCTTGGATTTTTCTTGCAAGACCGCTGCTCTGCTGCTCTGGCCTGGTAAGCCCCCCCCCCCCCACTCCCCCAATACCCTGACCCTGGATCTTACCTGTGAGACCCCCGCTCTGGCCTGGTGAGCCTTCTTCTGGTCCCCCCAGTTCCCGGTGGCCAGGGAATACTTCAGTCCATCTGTGATAATCCTAGTCTTTATTGCCAGCTCCAGATTGAAGTCTTTTCCTCTGTCAATGAACTTCTGGGCATATAACCTCACCTCCTTCATCAGATTACGGAACAACCTACAAATTACAGAAAAATTATTATAGGCTCATTTGTACATGTATTGATAAAGAAAACTTATAACCGACATTTGGGAATTATTTCAGACACAAGAAAACTACTTTACAGCAAGTATTATAAATACGGACATTTTGTTGTTTTTTTTTACTTAACACAGGTGTTTTAATCAACACTGCAGAAAGCTTTCTCTTACCCTCTGAACAAGAAAGCGAGAAGGGGACCAGCCAAATCCAGTCTCTTGTTACCATAGTGATCCCTGTCGTCCACTTCTCTACGACCAATGGCTGCCAGCAGCAATCGGTGAACCATGTAGCTGTAATTAGGTCAAATCATTACTGGACACACTCTCTTATAATTATATATCCTATGTGTACACAAGATTTCAAGTTTATTCTTCTTTGTATATCTATGTGTAACGATTTTGCAGTGCTCCAAGTCGCACTTACTTTTAGGTCGCTAAATGGCGACCTAAAACTTTTTTTGGTCGCCATTTCAGAATTTCTGATCGCCATTAACAAATTTTTCACTCGCCATGATGAAAACATGTGAATAACACAATTAAAACAATGAACAAACATCCACATGTGTTATGTTTTTATTAAATCAAAGATTATTGATTACTGTGACTAGAAATCTTTTGCTAGTTGAAGGATATATTTTTATTAAATACAACCACCCTTTGTATGGTACACAGAAGAACACACATAATCTGATTCTAAAATTAAAGTTTAATCAAAAGAAATAAAACTTTGACAGTTGTTTAGACAGGACTTTGCCAATTGTTTATCATGTTTACCTGTTTACTTACTACTAAGTATCTAGTATACCCATATCGCAGTCATTATCAATGCCGCCAAAACACTTAATTAATTGTGATGTGCAAGCCATTGACCAAATACTTTAATAATCAGGTCAGAGAAACTCTAGAAAGTTTACGACTTTTGGATGCCATTCTCTCAGAGACGTTATGTATACAGTGGAGCCTCATTTATCCGGACGCTTTGGTTCCTAGTCAATTTGTCCGGATATGTGAAGCATCCGGATACCTGAATCAGCAGCTAAACAAAACAATATAACATTTAAAAATTCCGTCCCGATGAAAAAGCGTCCGGATACTGAAGCATCCGGATATCTGGGGTCCGGATATCTGAAGGTCCACTGTATACGTTTCTGGTTCTATCAAACTTTACTATTACAGCATGCTATCATAACATTACGTGATCCAATTCCATACGATGCTTTGTAAAGTGTGTTAAAGTGTATATCTTCAAACATTGTATTGATAGAGAATCTTGAAAACGTAAATCTAGATCCCGATCATAAAAAAATGAACGTTGCCTGCCCAAATTTTCTAAGTCGCGAAAATGCGACTTTGTTTTAATTTCTAGTCGCAAATGCGACCGTTTTAGTCGCAACTTGGAGCACTGTTTTGGATGCAATAATTTCATAAATTTCACACAAATGTATGTATGCTTATACACATGTAGATTTTCATTCCAGTCATAAATTTAGTGACAACATATGTTCAATAAAATGACATCATCAATATTTATAAAGGGAAGATACATTTCTGCCTGTTGGCCTTACCCCAGGAAATACGCCTTCTTGGTCTCACAGAAGTCGCTCACTCCTACGTGAGGCAGCATCTCTTTCTGTAGAATTTCCCGGGCGTACTTGATACGTTTCTCCTTCGTGACACCTGGCCTTGCCCCCCTGGAGCCTATAAAGTTCAAGGCCACATTCTGTTCCTGGATCACAAAGGCCTCATCTAGGGAAGGTTTCACCTGTCAACAGATAACACAAAATTTATATACATTTATAATTCTTTTCTTTAAATCAAATATTTCTGGGAAATGATTTTACATTCTTTTTTCCTTCAAATTATATCAGCTTAGCTATTTCAACATTGTTTTCGTTGTTGAAATAAACCTAGTTATGAAAAAAATACTATGAATAAATTAAACTTCCAAAATTTTCCTGAACAAATCTTCTCTAAATTCTTATAAATTATTAAGCAGGCTACCAGAATTAAACCTTTTACTTACCATTTCCATCATTTCTGGATCATCAAAATCATAAATGATGTGTTCCAGGATGTCACGGTCAGACACAAAACCCAGGGCTCTGAACACGATGATGATCGGGATTTCTTGTTTGATATATGGCAAGATTCCAATGATTCTCTGTCCTATGGCACTTTTCTTGGCACCCTGAAATATGAAAATTGTGTCACATTGGAAGTACTGGTATATGTGTATTTGATTCTGTAAAAAGTAATTGAGAGGATCCATCATGGACAAATCGGCTATAAATTTAATGACAAATTACTGCATTTATATATGAATCTAAATATGCATGTTTTGGACAGATTCGAAAAATACATGAACATCAATATGCCTTGAATTTTACATTAAAATATACAATGTAGGCTAAAAATACTAAGCAATTGTCTCAATTTAAATCATTACAAGCCAGTATCCTACTTAATGATGGCCAAATTCCCTTCCCCACTATAGGGAATCATCTTGTTGGACTGCCCTCAGGGATTTATCAAGGCTGTTTTTACTACCGGAAAACGGTACCTTTCCCCTCTTGAAAAAGGTGCAAAAATTCCCCTTTTTCAGACAGAAAATTCTCCGATTAAAAGGAGAATATTTAAAACATCGTTCTGAAATTTTCCGTTTTTGTCCGATTGAAGTTTTACAGCTAATTTACCATCCTAGTCATTCAAACGCTTTTAAAAGAAAGAATATATTATTCAAGCTTTTATTTGATATTGATCGGTAAACATGTGCCAAGTCCATGATGTCTAAAGATACGCGTGCGATTGCAGAGTTAAAAAGAAAAGTGTAGATGAGTAAGATGGAGCTTATATCACTATGAATCGGAAGAATGGAGTAACAACAAAAACAATGTTAGTAGTGAAACATGAAAAACAGAATTGATTTGTGATAGATATTTAGAGAAAAAATTAAATAAAGTCCTGACCTGGTTAAATTTTTTTCGTGTGTGTTATTTAGTATTTTGCCTAAAAAGTGAAGTTTTTGTGGCCTTTGTAAAGGTCTACAAATGACCCTCAGAAGCTCTAAGAATGCAGGATTTTGCTCCATTTATTTAAAAATTTTCCGGGGGGGCATGCCCCCGGACCCCCCTATAATACTCGCGCCTCTGGCGCTCAGATCACGCCTGCGGCTCTCATTTTTCCCCTTTACATATAAAACGGTAGTAAAACAAAATAGCTAGATAAATCCCTGGCCCTTGTGTTTCACAAAGACCCCACCCCTGCCTCTAACCAGCAAATTGTTCCTAATCACACTGATGAAATATATTTACATTCCTTTATGTTATTTTCTAACTAAAGCATACCTTAGATACACTCTTTCCCCAAATTTGATTACCCCACCCCTTACAGCCATCATACCGACCTACGAGCTTACATAAATTACTTCCCCCCCCCCCACAAACACACACACCACCACCATAATCACTACGCATGTTGATCCACAGATGCACTAGATTTACATTTAAATGTTAACTCACCAAATGACCAATATCAAATTGTCCCTCATCACGCTGTTTATAATTTACACCTATCCCTAGTATACTTTGGCAGAACAGTGAAGACTAGATTAACACTTACCCCACCCCCTCTAGCCATCATGTTGACCCACAGGGTACTTGTGGGACGTGAGGAATGCTCCAAACAGGAACGGATCTCTGTCTTAAAGGCATACTTAGAGTCCTTTTGCTGGAAAACATACACTGTAAAAGGAAAACCATAAAAATTAGGAAATGTGCACATCAACAATATCATTTCATCACAATATTCTTTGCAATGTACACAGCTAAACTTTAGTACAGTACTTCAAACTTTGTTATCTCAAATACCATGCATATGCTAAAATAAGTTGGAAGTCTAAGCCACTTTCCTCTTTTGTATTTTAACCTCCAAACATTGAATCATTGATATTTCTTGGTTTTTATCAATCCAACAGAGTTTGAGATAACAAAGTTTGATTATAAATTATTCTTGACGTATTCAGACTCTGTTGTTCAGAATAACAGTCAGTCTTATTCTATACACATTTCAAATTTATACAGACTCTACCTGTGTTTGTAGCCATCTTTTCCTGAGCTATGAGGACTTTCTCTGACCCGTTGATGATGAAGTAACCCCCTGGGTCTAACGGACACTCGTTTAACTCCGTCAAGTCACGGTCGACAAGATTGTTCAGAAGGCAGTAGGTGGAGCGAAGCATGATGGGTATTTTGCCAATAAAGGTCTTTTGGTGCTGTGTTTCCACTGGATCCTCCCCTTCTTTGACTACTGTTTTAGTGATGTCCACGTACAATGGAGCCGAGTATCTGAATTAGAAAGTTTACAGTATATTAGAGCAATAATTGTAATAGCTAATGAAGATTCATCTCTATTTTTTACAATCTTGTAACTTTATTCACAAGAAATTAATCATTCATAAGATCAATTCGACATGTGCTTGATGTGTGTAATGTTGAAAAATATAGTGTACAATATTCCTAATTTTACCTGCACGGACATTTAACAATCCAATCAAAATAGAGAACCAACAATTATACAGCAATTCATACTTTATATCCATTGCTTAGTTATAAATATTTTTTGACTTACGTGAGGTTTCTGAGTCTAGCCTCGTTAGGCATCATGGGACTGGGAGCTCCGTCCTTCTCCCAGTGGGTAGGCTTAGACAGGTAAATCTGTTCAAACTTCAGCAGGTATCTCGGCTACAATAGAGTGTAGATCTATTAAATCTCATTCCAAAAGTGAATTTGCTCAAAGTCAAACATAAGCAGGGCCTTTATGATGTTGTTGATATTATAATATTTATTCCAGCAATTTTGCAGCCTCCTTCAGAAATATTTATCTTTTATTTTACAAACTTGATTACAAAACCTGAACATCATGTTGACTGGAGAGTCAAACTCAAATCAAGAGTTCAAACATCTTTATAAACCTAATTTTGTACTCTTCAGCAACTCAGATTTTGTTTCAGTGTTGAATATACAATACATGTACTTTTACAAATGGTGCCAGACTAACAAAATTCAAATATCATGTTGCTTGAAACCTCCTGTATTCCACTTTAATTTAAACATATAAACCACACTCACTGGAGCTTTCATGTTTGCAATAATGGATGTCAGAAAAAAATATTCTTATGCCGCAGCTGACCTAACTATATTCAGTCAATCACTGAATCAGTGAATGTGGGACAATAACGTTCTGATACATCTTACATATCTTGTCCCTGGCAAGAGTCAGTTATAGATACTTATTTTTCCATAACTTACCGGCGTTTCCACCATTCCTGACGTGTGTTGCGCCTCCGCTTGGAGATCTATCTGAGGCGAATCCTCCACGATTCGCTGAACGGACATCTGTATAAACTCGTCAAACGAGTCCAGCTGTTGTCGTACTAAACCTTTCTCATCAAAATAAGAACTGATGACGATCCAGCAAGCCTCCTGCCAGAGGTCCGCAGTGATTTCATCACCGTCGTCCTCAGCCTCATACATCATTTCTGTTATAAACAATATTCATGTAATGCTTTTATGTACATGATGTATGGAACTTTTCTTCACATAGTTCCCTTTCTGGATTAAAAGTTCAAGTCAATGGACATACATGACATAAATTATGGTTTTTTGATTAGTCTTTAGCAATGTTTAATTACCAATTTCATTTTACAGAGAGTACCTCGATCTACTTTTTGTAAGTTCTGGGCAATGGCTAAATCTCATAAATTGTTTGGATTGTAAATTAATACAACTGTGAACATATATAAAGTACGCTTCATGTTGAGTCTTAAAGTATTTTTCCTAATGAAATGTTTTGTTATTTTTGATGACATGTAGAAGAGACGCGCAGTTTTCGTTCACACCGGAAGTCGATTTTCAAAACATTACATTCCCGGCTGAAATCGTTCAAAATAATATTAAAACCTATTACCTTCCTCTTGGCTATACATTTTTGGTTTCTAGAGGGATCTAAAATTATTATCAATTGAGAAAACGTATTCGATTGCTGAATTTTAAGCCCGATTCATAGCGATTGTATTCCTCCTTTTTCCCTCTGTCTGTACTGTTCGCCCTTTCGAGCCAAACTGAATAATTCGGAACACCTCGGGCTCTAAATATCAAAACGTTTGGATGTTACGAAAACATTTCGCGAATCCATACGAAGCTACTAAATACCACAAACATTTATGAATAAAAAAAACTAACTAAAATCTTTGTTTACGTAAATTTAGTTATTAGTGTAACTGTTTTTCTTTTTAACTTTTACATAAAAAATATAAACATTGCAACATTGACGTATAATAAATTAGGCCAACATAATATGTATATGTCTCTGAATTCTCCAAATGACGGAATGTGGTAAATTATTATTTATCAGTCATAGTAGAACACACAAAACAAAGTTGAGAGAACTGCATAATTTAGATCTAATTAGACCTACAAAAAAAAAAACTAACAAGCAAAAAAAAAAAAAAAAAAAAAAAAAAGGAAAAATATGTCCGTTGTCAATCATGATAATCCTATTTCGTGTGTGTGTGTGTGTGTGTGGGGGGGGGGGGGGTCAAATTTTTCTGTACATTACCAATTTTTTTCCAAACACTACCACTTTCCACACTTTTTAACCTCAATGCCAATATTGATTTTAAGTCTATCTTAATTCATAGGCGTCGGAACCCCATTTCCAATTAATAAAACTGTACGTTGCAATTGTAAACTAACAAAACTGAGAATTTCTGCACATCCTTTAGAAACGCACTAAATTTTTGTAGAATATGATATGTATATAATATTTATTGTATAACTGAAATATTTCAAAATATGTATTTTGTTTATAATACATGTAATTGTCTGATGTGCCATATGGCATAAGGAAATAAAGAATTGAATTGAATAGTATAATATAACATGTAATAAACTTACAAACTTGTGATAAATAGATCCTATTATTTAGCTAATTGTTTTCGAAATTCTAAATATAAATCCTATATCTAAAAATTCTAATCCATGATAAATATATTTTCCTAAATGATTTACACCTTCGGGATTTGTACTACAAAATAGTTGTATTAGTTTGAAGACACTTGGTTTCCGGGAGTATGTTAATGTTTGATGAAATTTTCTCTTAAATCATGAAAAACTGGACAAATTAACAAAGTATTAAATTCATCTTCGATATCATTTAAATAACATAAATCACATTTCCATTTACTCCTTATTAAATTGCCATATCTTCCAGTTTCTATCTTTAAATTATGTGCTAAAAATCTTAAACATGTAATTGCTTTTCTGTATTTTACATAAATAGGTTTCCTTAAATAACATTGCAAACAAAAACAATCAACTAAATGCTTATATAACATGCATTTTGGTGATCTACATATTTCAGATATAGCCCTCTGTTTAAAAACATGACACAATTTATATAATATGGTATGTTACAACGCACTTTGAAAAATTACGCACTTTGAAAAAAAAATTCAAAGTGCGTTAAATTTGGGACCAAGCTAACGCACTTTGAAAAAAATAAATTCCTTTTCAAAGTGCGTTAATATCGACCATATTCATGATATTAACGCACTTTGAAAAAAAAATGTTAAGCTTGATCAATATTCTTACAAAGTATCGGTTTGATAAATAATTGACCCTGGTTGGATAATTATTTTTATCATAATGTTATTTAAGAACCTGAGATATTAATGTTTAAATATTTTAGGTTTTGATAAATGTTATTAAAATGAAATTGGTCATTTGGAAAAAAAAAATGGAGAGATGATTGTTTAATATCATTATTTTGATTCTTTTTAAAATTTCTAGTCTGTAATATGAAGATGTAGGAGAAGGGGGCTAAAAGTGTACGACTTAAAGCATAGCATTCATCCTAAGAAAAAAGGGACAATTTGATTTTTCAAAACTATGAAAATTCTTTCTCTCTCGTACGTTTTTCTGTTCATAAAAAATGTCGATCTAGTTTTCATCTGTTTAAGTTTCACAGTTTTAAACGTTATACCAGTTATGTAAATACATATAAACATGTTTGGGATATAGCATATACTAGTAGACATCGAAACCGGGCGAAGGGAAAGGGGAGGAGCCTAAGCCCCCCCCCCCCCACTTAATTTGGAAAGATGTATGATCATATAGGCATTGAAAATCCGGCTTAATATTTTTTGGGTTTATTATACTCCCCTCTCCCGTTTTATTTGTTACCGCATACTTTTTTCTTTACCTTACCATTATTTTTTAAACATTGTGTCCCCCTGAATTAATCTATTAGCAAATTAAAGCAATACAAATTTTCTTTACAGATACAAGATAAAATATGGAGATAACGAACAGTATTCAAGCAAAAAATTCTTTTTTAACAATGTAAATCGGAGGCAGAGAAAACACGGACATCCAAAAACTCCTGAGGCGGGATCAGGTGCCATGGAATAGTAAACATCCCTGTCAACCGGTCACTAAGCCATGTGAACTTTGTCATGGTATCGGGTAAGCGGAAAAAATCAGTAGAAAATTCAGTGTGTTAATAATGGTCTAACTAATTAATAAGTATGAAAAACGTCAGTCAGCATTTGACCTAATGATCTTAGGTTACTACTATCGGCTTTTTCAATAAAATATAGAAATATAAAACAGTGGTGTCTTTTATTTCAAGTTCAATGGGATATATATGTAGAATCGACATATGAAAGGAAGTAACTCTGACGCATCATTTGATAAATCTTAAAATCGAGTTGAAAGCCACAACATATGGTTTCGAATTCTTTTCTTGTATGTTTTTAATAAATTCTGCTTCATATGAATACAAAAATATATCTGTTTACAACGGGTGCAATTGGTACCCATGGGAATTCCAAAAGATTATTAAAAGACCTGCTTGATCTCCAAAAAAACTACAAAGATATTGTCAATAAGAAACAAAAGCTTCTTTTTAATGCCAACTTCAGAGTACTTCTGTGTACAATCAGGATGTTTTTAAAACAAAATGATTTTGCAAATGACCAATACTAGTAACAATATGAGTATATTAATGAGTTTTATTAATTAATAAATCACAGGGAATTTAGTATATGTGTTGAAAAGTCGTACGTTTTAATATTATTTCAAGTTTTCTAAGAGTTGCATTGAGTATCTAAGTATCTACACTGCACTTATCAAATATGTTGTTGTACATTAGGCCGGAATTAAAAAATATCAGTCTTTGTTTCCCCTAACCCGACCCTGAATTCTCAAGTTGGGTGGTAGGTAGGTAAACAATTTTATTTTCTGACAGCAGCTTTGAAAATACATTCTAAAATTTAATGGAAAATTACCTTTATAAATAAGAAAAGTACAAAAGAAAGCGATTTGTGAACAAAATGCTAAGTATCGTACATATGCCGTTTAAAAGCAAAATCCATGATTAATTAATTCACGACTGTTATTTAGTTGAACTTGCGAAATATCTTACGCCATTACATTTATATAAATTGAATAAAATAGACAAGATTCTCAAATATGCAAAGAACAGACATACGAGTACGTTTTTTCAAACCTTCCATCAGCCTTCAGAGCTTATAGACGATCAATGTACTTTTTTGAGGGCAATGAAATTTGCGGTGGTTCGTGAGCATTTTGCTTTGGAGTTAAGAAGTAAGTGGCTTATTTTAAATCGCAGGTTCAAATCCCAATGAGTAACGTTGAATACGGTCTTTCAAAAGGAACCACAAAACATATGTCCAATGTCGCAGAAGATGCTGGCTCAAAAAAGATCCTCCACTGCTTAATGGCAAAAAAAGGTGCTGAGTACGTCTAAATTTGGAGCAATGGGGGAAATGTTTAGATTTCGTCCTAACAAATCTCGAAGGGATTAAAAGCAAAGAAACAACCAAACTTCAAGGGCCTAATTAAAGAAAAATACACTGGACGTCTCAGGAAGCTGAATCATGATTTCAAAACTATTTGGAAAGAGTATGTTAACAATATTTAATTGAACCAAACCGAATCTACAAATGATATAAAAATGCTATATACAATGTCATAGTCTCGAAGTTTAACCACTTAATAAAGGCATGAAGAAAGGACATCTGAATTATATTTATCAGGATGAATAATATGCAGACATATTTACAACAACTCCTATGGTTCCATAATGGCATATAGTAAACATAGGAACATAGATGAACTGGTTATTAGATCAAAACTCAAATTAAATAAAATGCAGTGAAATTGAATGATGTGTTCACTAGGTGGGCCCCTCATCTACTCATGGGGCGGGCCTTACCATGTATTACGTACCATAAATTCAAAGACAGGTTTGTTTGTTTATTGTTTAACATCCCTTTCGAAAATATATTCACTCACATGGAGACGCCAAGACACCTCCGAAACACTCTTAATTAGTCATGGTAAATTTTATTATCGAATTGTTTCAAGAGTGAAGAATTCCAGTTAGCTAAAGGCATAAGATTGAGACGTCGCCATTGTTTTATGAAGAGCTAATGCCCTGTAATCACATCTGGACGTCATTTTGTTTCCAACAAATGCTTGAAAATCACAGTAGAACAATGTCGGCCGTTCTGATAAAAACTGATTTTGATGAAATTGTATTTTATAAAATTTGGTTAACAATAAAAAAAAATATTTGAATCATCTTATTTAAAAAAAAATTTCAGTCGGCCTGATTTAATTGGGTCGGTCGCGTTAGGGGAAACAAAGGTATTTTTTATTTTGGCCTTACAACTGAAGTTTCTCCTTCACTGCTATTAATATGGTATTTGAATTGAATTGAACATATTTTATTGACAAAGTCAAAAGGACAAGACACATGTTCTACAACTTCAATAGTCTTCTCCTTATACAGAATATCATAAAATTGTCATAACACAAGTACAATTATTTTCAGCAACAAAATAAGTATTAAGTAGTGTCAAAGACTGAAAATACTTTATATGCAAAATTTAATTCTGTAATCTATATAAAAATTTAAGATTTTTTAAAAACAAATCTACCACATTCTTATAAAATAGATAAATTTCTACATTTTTTGGATCAGAGAAAAAAAAAACAATTCATAGCATCAAATGGACATCTATAATGTACAAACTATACAAGTTG